GCTCACGCCTGTAATCCCAGCAGTTTGGGAGGCCAAGACAGAGAGATCACGAGGTCAGGAGATCGAGACCATCCTGGCCAACATGGGTGAAATGCCATCTCTACTAAAACACAAAAAAATTAGCCAGGTGTGGTGGTGTGTGCCTGTAGTCCCAGCTACTAGGGAGGCTGAGGCAGGGGAATCATTTGAACCTGGGCGGTGGAGGTTGCAGTGAGCTGAGATTGCGCCACTGCACTCCAGCCTGGTGATAGAGCAAGACTCTGTTTCACCAAAAAAAAAAAAAAAAAAAGTTATGTCAAAGCATGGCGGCTCACACCTGTAATCCCAGCACTCTGGGAGGCTGAGATGGGTATATATGTACACATTTATTGATTTATTTATTTATTATTTTTTGAGATGGCATCTCGCTCTGTAGCCTGGGTTGGAGTGCAATGGCACAGTCTCAGCTCACTGTAACCTCCACCTCTTGGGTTCAAGCGATTCTCCTGCCTCGGCCTTTTGAGTAGCTTGGATTACAGGTGCCGGTCACCATGCCCGGCCAATTTTTGCATTTTTAGTAGAAACAGGATTTCACCATGTTAGCCAGGCTGGTCTCGAACTCCCGACCTCGTGAACCATCCGCCTTGGCCTCTCAAACTGCTGGGATTACAGGCGTGAGCCACTGCACCCAGCCTATTAATTATTATTTTTGAGATGGAATCTTGCTCTGTCTCTCAGGCTGAAGTGCAGTGGCGTGATCTCGGCTCACTGCAACCTCCACCTTCCAGGTTCAAGTGATTCTCCTGCCTCAGCCTCCTGGGTAGCTGGGATTACAGGCGCCCACTGCCACACCCAACTAATTTTTGTATTTTAGTAGAGATGGGGTTTCACCATGTTGGCCAGGCTGGTCTCGAACTCCTAACCTCAAGTGATCCACTCACTTCAGCCTCCCAAAGTGCTGGAATTACAGGCATGAGCCACTGCACCTGGACTAATTAGTGCAAATTTAAAGAATCTGAGAAAAGAAGTGTAGATAACGAGAGTTTTGCTGCAGAGAAAAGGAAGGCAGTGGAGTGACAGCTGGAGGAGGCAGAGGGAAGCCTTCCCCTTTCAGATGGGAAGTGCTAAGATCAGAGGTTAAGTGACTCACCCAGCTCACACAGCTGGCCTGGCTCAGCCTGGAGTGGCTCCCTTGCCCCTGACCCCCAGCACTTTCCTCCCCCAGAGGGCTGCCTCTTTCTTGTGGTCATTATCAGGGTCCTTGGAGGCTGCCCCTGAGGCTGGTCTCCCCTGCTCCTACAGAGCTCCAAGAGTCCCAGAGCCTTCGAGTGAGAAGGGCCACCTGCTCTGGCTCAGCACGCGCGATGGAGCATCCTGCTCGCTTTTCACTGTGCTGTGAGATCAGCCTGCAGGCCTGGGAGTGATTGTGCATCTCTGGTTTCACGCGTGCTGAAGTGAGCTGCGGAGCTGCTGCGCTGGGTAAGGGGAACACTGCAGCCACTGTGTGGTCAGCCGGGGTAGGGGTCCTGACTCTGCCAGTTGTTCAGTTGGACCCTGGGTCAAGTTCTTCCCCTTTCCTGAGGCTTATCTGCAAAAGGGGGCTAATGCCTGCCTCCCAGAATGGTTCTGAGGACTGAGGGCACTAAGCAGGGGGCTGCCTGGCACACAGCCGGCACTGAGTGAAGGCAGGGGTTTTCCCTGGCCCCCACCACTCCGCTTCTTCCACAGGTGTTCTCATTGACCTCTCTGGAACCAAGTGCAGCCCACCCACTACACGCCACCCCACTGGCTGAGGAAAGTAGGACCTGGTTTTGTTTTGTTTTGTTTTGAGATGGAGTCTTGCTCTGTCGCCAGGCTGGAGTGCAATGGTGCTATCTCGGCTCACTGCAACTTCCACCTCCCAGGTTCAAGTAATTCTTCTGCCTCAGCCTCCTGAGCAGCTGGGATTACAGGCACGCACAACCACGCCCAGCTAAATTTTGTATTTTAGAAGAGATGGAGTTTCACCATGTTGGCCAGGATGGTCTCAATCTCTTGACCTCGTGATCTGCTCACCTTGGCCTCCCAAAGTGCTAGGATTAGAGGTGTGAGCCACCACATCCAGCTTCTTCGTTTTTCCTTCTCCGTAGGTTGTTGGGGTGGTATTTGGTCGCGTGAGTAAGTTCTTCAGTGGCGATCTGTGAGATTTGGTGCACCCATCACTTGAGGAGTATATACACTGCTCTATTTGTAGTCTTTCATCCCCGCCGCCCTCCCACCGTCCCCCACAAGACCCCAAAGTTAGGACCTGGTTTCCTGAGTTTGCTGTAGGAGATGGGTCTGAGCCACTGCCCTGAAGAGAGTTTCACTGGCTTCTCTGAGTGCCAGGATGTGGGCATGAGGCAGCTGATACAGGCTGAGTCTGAAGAAGGCCCCACCTGACCCCATAGCTGTCCTGGAACTTACTGCTTGGTCCAGTGAACCAGAGAATATGCTGTGGGCTGCTGAGCCAGCCGTCACTCCCTGGGGTGATGGCCCAAGCCAGCTCCAGCTCAGTCTGTCCATCAAGAAAAGGGAATGGCCCTGTGTGGCCCTCATTTTTCTGCTTCATAAATGAAAATGTGGGAAAAAGCAATCTCTAAGCCTCTTCCTGCAACAGAGATTCTCAATTTGTGTAAAATTTGTCTCTCTTTCTTTTCTTGTTTTTCTTTCCTTCTTTTTTCCTCTTCTTTCCTTCCTTCCCTCCCTCCTTCCTTCCTCTCTCTTCCTCCCTCCGTCCCTCCCTCCCTCCCTCCCTCCCTCCTTCCTTTCTTTCCCGTTCCCTCCCTCTCTCTCTCTGTGTCGCTCTTTCTTCCTTTCAACAGAGTCTCTCTCTATCCCCCAGGCTAGAGTGCAGTGGTGCAATCATAGCTCACTGCAGCCTCAACCTCCCAGGCTCTAGTGATCCTCCCACCTCAGCCTCCCAAGTAGCTGGTACTACAGGTGCATGCCACGATGCCCAGCAAATTTTTGTATTTTTTTTGTAGAGACAGGGTTTCACCATGTTGCCCAGGCTGGTCTTAATCTCCTGCTCAGCCTCCCAGAGTGCTGGGATTATAGGCGTGAGCTGCCAAATCTGGCCTTACGATTTCATTTGAGGCTGGGCATGGAGGCTCAAGCACTTTCTCACATGGAGAAACCCCATCTTTAAAAAAAAAAATTTCATTTGAGAGCCAGGTGTGGTGGCTCAAGCCTGTAATCCCAGCACTTTGGGAGGCCAAGGCGGGTGGATCACTTGAGGTCAGAAGTTCGAGGCCAGTCTGGCCAACATGATGAAACCTTGTTTCTACTAAAAATACAAAAATTAGCTGGGTGTGGTGGTGCGCACCTGTACTCCCAGCTAATTAGGAGGCTGAGGTAGAGGAATCACTTGAACCCAGGAGGTGGAGGTTGCAGTGAGCTGAGACCGCACCACTGTACTCCAGCCTGGGTGACAAGGGTGAAGCTCAATCATTTGAGCCTACAAAGTTCGCCCGTATAGACATGGGGGCCCCACTTTACTCGGCTTGAATTCCAGAACTTTTCGTTTTGCCAGCACTGAGGGGAGTCACATCTGGCCAATGTCAAATGAGAAAAAGCCTGGGGCCCTCAGAACCCTGGAGGGGCAGCGCACAGAGCACCAGCCGGACACGGCGTGTCATCCGGAGGGCGCGCCGCAGCCCCGCGAAGTGCTGAGATTCAGGCTTGAGCCACGTGCCCGGCCCTCTTTGAATTTTTCTATACATTCAAAATTTTTATTGATTTATTATTGTTGTTATTGTTTTGAGACAGGGTCCCAGGTTTGCCCAGGCTGGAGCGCAGTGGCAGGATCTCGGCTCACTGCATCCCCTGACTCCCTGGGTCAAACAATTCTCAGGCCTCATCCTCCTGAGTAGCTGGGATTTCAGGCATGTGCCACCATGCCTGGCTAAATTTTCGTATTTTCAGTAGAGACAGGGTTTCACCATGTTGGCCAGGCTGGTCTCGAACTCCTGGCCTCAAGGGATCTGACTGCCTCAGCCTCCCCGTGTTGGGATTACAGGCATGAACCACTGTGCCTGGCCCTTTTATTTTTGTTATTTATTTTCCCAGGCTGGAGTGCAGTGGCACAACTACAGTTCACTGCGTCCTTGACCTCCTGGGCTCAAGCGGCCTTTCCACCTCAGCTTCCCTAGTAGCCGGGACTATGGGCACGCACTACCATGCCCAGCTAATTTTTATTTTATTTTTTGTAGAGGCAGGGTCTTGCTGTATTGCCCAGGGGGGTCTTGAACTCCTGGCCTCAAGCGATCTTCCCCTCTTGGCCTCCTAAAGTGTGGAGATGACAGGCGTCAGTCACTGTACCCAGACTTGTGATTTTTAATAAATAGTTTTTTACAGGAAACAAAAGTCATTAAGTTTAAACGTTTTTAACCGTGGTAAACACACGACGTAGAATTTACTTCCTCAGTCACTTCTGCATGTGCAGATCAGGGACACGAAGCTCATTCACGTTGCTGTCTAACCACCACCCCATCCACCTCCAGAACTCTTGCTCTTGCCAAACTGCAATGCAGGCCAGGCACAGGCGGGTCACCTGAGTCAGGAGTTCGAGACCAGCCTGGCCAACATGGAACCCTGTTTCTACTAAAAATACAAAAATTAGCCGGGCGTGGTGGCGGGTGCCTGTAATCCCAGCTACTTGCGAGGCTGAGGCAGGAGAAGGGCTTGAACCTGTGAGGCGGAGGTTTCCGTGAGCTGAGATTGCGTCACCGCACTCCAGGCTGGGTGACAGAGGGAGACTCTGTCTCAAAACCACCCCGAACAAAAAAACTGCAACGTTGTTACACCTACTGAACAACACTGCTTGTGCCCCTGCTCCCAGCCCCTGGCAACCACTTTTCTCCTTGGGTTTGTAGGAATTTGATTACTCAGGTAAGTGGGATTATACAATGTTTGTCTTTTTTGTAGCTGGCTCATTTTACTGGGCACAATATTCTCAAGGTTCGCCCATGTTGTGGCACGTGTCAGAGTTTCCTTCCTCTTTAGGGCTGGACCATCTTCCATGTTGTGCATGTATCCCGTTTGGTTCGTCCGTTCGTCCATCCATGCACACGTGAGTTACTTCCATCTTTTTGCTGCTCTGACTGATGCAGCTGTGAGTGTGGACGTGCAAATACTCTGTGAGACTGTTTTCAGTGGTTTGGGGTGAATAGCCAGAAGTGAGCTTGCTGGATCATTTGGTAATTGTCTGTCTCTTTAAATTTTTTTTTTTTTTTTTGAGACAGAGTCTGGCTCTGTCGCCCAGGCTGGAGCGCAGTGGTGCAATCAGGGCTCACTGCAGCCTCAAACTGCTGGGCACAAATGATCCTCCCACTTCAGCCTCCTGAGTAGCTGGGACTCGGGGCATGCACCACTGTGTCTGGTTAATTTTTTTAGTTTTTAAAAATTTTTTATTTTTTTAGAGACAGGGTCTCACTGTATTGCCCAGGCTGGTCTCCAACTCCTGGGTCCAAGCAGTCCTCCTGCCTCGACCTCCCAAAGTGCTGCACGGCTGTGTACCGTGGGCCTGGCCCGGTGGCTCCCCTCTCTTTCTCTGGCCTCTGAAACTTCTGCTGGTGGTTTGTGGTGAGGCAGATGCCACAGCGAGGGGCAGGCCACTGTCAGCAGCCCTGAGACTGTGCTAGGTGGCTGTTTCTCACGCTGAGGAAGTGGCTGTCCATCTTGGCTGTGGAAATACAGTCACCCTCCTGACACTCATCAGGCAGGAATGATTCTCCTCACACAGAAGCGGGGAGCCGTGACGCATGGTCAGCAGCTTGGGTGAGGCCTGTGGGCCCCACTCCCACAGGGTCTGCGTTGAGACTGCCTCTCCCATGTCCTGCTCTGCCACATGGCTGGCGTGACCTTGGCCCAGTTTCTTTTCTTTTCTTTTTTTTTTTTTTTTGAGACAGAGTCTCGCTCCGTCACCCAGGCTGGGGTGCAGTGGTGTGATCTTGACTCACGGCAACCTCCACCTCCCGGATTCAAGTGATTCTCCTGCCTGAGCCTGTGAGTAGCTGGAATTACAGACACCCACCACCACGCCTGACCAAGTTTTGTATTTTTAGTAGAGATGGGGTTTCTCCATGTTGGCCAGGCTGGTGTTGAACTCCTGACCTCAGGTGATCCACCCGCCTTGGCCTCCCAAAGTGCTGGGATTTCAGGCGTGAGCCACTGCAGCCAGCCATTGACCTAGTTTCTGAACTTGTGTGAGCCCCTCTTTTTCATCTGTAGCAAGGGAATAACAGTTGCTGAGAAGAGCAGGACAATCAACGGTGACTGAGATGATGGCGCTCCTGGGTCAGGACCCTGACTCGGGCTTGTGGGTCGCGGTTCCCGAAGGGGCGCCTCACAGTTTTCTGGAGGCTCTTTCAGCTTAACTGTGGAATATTATTGAAACCGCTGACTGAGCGATGGCTCCTGCCTGTGATCCCAGCACTTTGAGAAGCTGAGGTGGGAAGACTGATTAAGCCCAGGAGTTCGAGAGCAGCCTGGGCAACATAGTGAGACCCTGTCTCTTTTAATTAAAAAATACAAATAAATAATTAGCTGGGTGTGGTGGTCCGTACCTGTAGTCCCAGCTGATTGGAAGGCTGAGATGGGAAGATGACCTCACCTGAGCCCAGGGGGTCAAGGCCACAGTGAACCATGATCCTGACACTGTGCAGAGCCTGGGTGCCAGAGTGAGACCCTGCCTCAAAAAAAAAAAAAAAAGAAATCACCTCTGCAAAAATTATGACAGTAAGAAAAACTTGACATACTTGACTGTCCTGCCTCTAATCTCAACTTTGGTCATTCCTGGGCTTGGGCCAAGGTAACCTTGAGAGGAATTCAGTTTATAGTTTAACCTTGAAACAAGGATGACGATAGCCCTTCCCAAAACTAAACCACCTGTGCAGCCCTCATGACAGGCCACCAGTTAGGAGTATGGGAAGGGCCTGAATTCTGCTGCGATGCGGGCAGACGTAAAAGACAACCAGCCATTGTTCCGGGGGTCGTGAGATCTGCAGTCTCCCCAAGTGCTCCTTTAGATAAAACGTCACCAGGATGTGGAAGGACCTGAGCTGTCTTTTCAGACTATTTGCATTTCTGACCAGCTGATTCTACTGAATCCGGGACTCATGACTCAGTCGGTCCTGTGGCAGCCACACAGAGGCAGACCCCAAAACACACACACACACACACACACACACACACACACACCACACACACCACACACAAACCACACTTGCACCACACACACCATGCACAAACACACACCACACATACCACATACACCACATACACACCACACACACCACACACCACACACAAACACACACCACACACCACACACAAACACACACTACACACACACCACACTCATACCACACACACCATGCACACACACCACACGTACCACACACACCACATACACACCACACACACCACACACACACACCACACATACCACACACACCACATACCACACACACACCACACACCACACACAAACACCACACACAAACACACACTACACACACACCACACTCATACCACACACACCATGCACAAACACACACCACACATACCACACACACCACATACACACCACACACACACCACACACCACACACAAACACACCACACACACACTACACACACACCACACTCGTACCACACACACCATGCACACACACCACACACACCACACACCACACACACACCACACACAAACACACACCACACATACCACACACACCACATACACACCACACACACACCACACACCACACACAAACACACACTACACACACCACACTCGTACCACACACCATGCACACACACCACACATACCACACACACCACACACAAACACACACACCACACATACCACACACACCACACACAAACACACACACCACACATACCACACACACCACACACAAACACACACCACACATACCACACACACCACATACACACCACACACACACCACACCACACACACCACACACAAACCATACACGCACCACACATACACTACACACACACACACCACACATACCACACACACCACATACCACACACCACACAAACACACCACACATTACACACAAACACACCACACATTACACACAAACACACCACACACAAACCATACTCGCAGCACACACACCATGCACAAACACACACCACACATACCACATACACACCACACATAAACATATACACAAACACACACACACACCACACACACAAAGGACCAGGTTTCACACCTTTGTGATTTCCTCCCCAACCAACTAATATCCCCCTCCCCTAGCCCCTGTCCATAAAAAAATTCTTTTTTTTCTTTTCTTCTCTTTTTCTTTATTTTTTTGAGATGGAGTCTCGCTCTGTCACCAGGCTGGAGTGCAATGGGACAATCTCAGCTCACTGCAACCTCCAACTCCTGGGTTCAAGCGATTCTCCCGCCTCAGCCTCCTGAGTAGCTGGGACTACAGGCATGCGCCACCACGCCCAGCTAACTGTATTTTCAGTAGGGATGGGGTTTCGCCATGTTGGCCAGGCTGGTCTCAAACTTCTGACCTTGTGATCCACTTACCTCAGCTCACCTCCCAAAGTGCTGGGATTACAGGTGTGAACCACCCCGCCTGACCACCAAACCGTTCTTGAAAGACCTCTGAACCTTCGAGATTGATTTGTCTGTGCAGTGGGCAAGGCAGGAGACAACATTATCTTAATTTAGCCTGTGTTGAAAATGTTTATCAGCCAGGTGTGGTAGCTCATGCCTATAATCCCAGCACTTTGGGAGTCTGAGGTCAGCCTGGGTGACATAGCAAGACCTCGTCTCTATAGAAAGAAAAAATGTTTGCTGCCCAGGTCTCACATGTGGGCACGATTGACTTCCCGACATTCATGTGCCCTTCTTCCTTACTAATGAAACTGGGCCAGGTGTGGTGGCTCATGCCTCAAATCCTAGCACTTTGAGAGGCTGAGGCTGGCTGGTGGATCACCTGCGGTCAGGAGTTTGAGACCCTCCTGGCCAACATGGTGAAACCCCATCTCTACTAAAAATACAAAAATTAGCCGTAATTTCAGCTACTCAGGAGGCTGAGGCAGGAGAATCACTTGAACCTGGGAGGCGGAGGCTGTGGTGAGCTGAGATCGCGCCACTGCACTCCAGCCTGAGGGCCAAGAGTGTCTCAAACAAAACGAAACAAACCCAGAAACTCTGCTTGTGTTTGGGGCACAACAGAGTGATCCGCCAGGTGAACCACGGCTCATGGCAACCCTGCCCTGTGCTTCCCAGCCTGCCACGCAGCTGGGGGAGATCCTGCCACCTGCTCTGGACAAAGGGACCTGTGTGGATGGCGTGCGCCTTGGACAGACCACCTACTCCTTCTCCCTGTTTTGAAGACTCCTGATTTTGAAACCGCTGCCACCATATGTCCCTGGGGAAAGGCCAAGTTAACTCCAGAGACGCCAGCCCCGACGCTGCTGAGCACCAGCCTGCTCACCTCCAGGTTTTTATTCTGGGAGACAAAGACAGCACACTGTGCACACAGCTGCCAGTCAGGTCTGCCGTTGCTGCGAAGTGCTTCTTCCACCTTCACTCCTCTGGGTGGAGGCGACGCCTCGGCCTGCAGCAACCCTCTGTGTTGTGGGCATCTCTCCTGCCCCTGCTCCAGCCTGTTACCTAGGGCGCTTTCGGAGCCTAGAGGCCACCCTTGCCTCCTCCGACCACCCAGCTTGCCCCGTGCTTCCTTATCTATCTTGACCTCAATTTCCCATTTCCTTTGGTTAATGCTCTCTTGAAAAATCACTTTCCACTCAGACACACTGAGTCCATGTCCATTCCTCCATCATATAGCACGTAAGCCCCCAGACATACACACACACACATACACACCTGTACAACACACCCCAGTCACACACCCACCCACCCACCTCTATGCAGTAGACACCCCAGATGCACACATACACACCCCTATACAACAGACACCCCAGACACGCACACCCACCCACCCCTATAAACAGACACCCCAGACACACACACACCCCTATACAACAGACACCCCAGACACACACAGCATGACACACCAGAGACATGCCACACAACAGACACGCCAGACACACACACACCCCTATACAACAGACACTCGAGACAGACACACACACAACAAACACCCCAGACACACACACACCCCTATACAACAGACACCCCAGACACACACACACACCCCTATACAACAGACACCCCAGACACCCACAGCATGACACACCAGAGACATGCCACACAACAGACACGCCAGACACACACACACCCCATACAACAGACACTCGAGACAGACACACACACAACAAACACCCCAGACACACACACACCCCTATACAACAGACACCCCAGACACACACACACACCCCTATACAACAGACACCCCAGACACACGCCCCTATACAACAGACACCCCAGACACACATGCACACACCCCTATGCAACAGACACCCCAGACACACATGCACACACCCCTATACAACAGACACCCCAGACACACACACACACCCTATACACAGACACCCGACTCACGCCACATGACACACCAGAGACATGCCATACAACAGACATGCCAGACACACACACATGCCCCCATACAACAGACACCCCAGGTACACACCCACACAACAGACACTCCAGACACATATGCACACACCTACCCTTATACAACAGACATACCAGACACATGCACACACCCACCCCTATACAACAGACACCCCAGACATACACACCCCTATATAACAGACATCCCAGACACACATGCTCCATGACACACCAGACACACATGCCACACAACAAACACACCACACAACAGGCACACACACACCACATACCACCGTATACACACACCACACAACAGACATACCACATACACAGACATCCACACACCAGACACACCACACACACACCTGCCACACAACAGACGCACCACACAACAGATACACCACACAACAGACACACTCACACACCACCCCATACACAGACCACACAACAGACACATCACATCCACAAACACACCACTCCATATACCACACAACAGACACACACCACACACATACATCACACACACCACACAACAGACACACACACACACCATCCCATACACACACCTCACACACCACCCCATATACACACACTACACAACAGACACACACCACACACCACCACAAATACACACCACACACCACCCCATACACACACACTACACAACAGATACACACCACACAGCACCCCATATGCACACCACACATACACACCATACAATAGACACACATCACACACACCCATATATACACACTACACAACAGACACACCACACACAGACACACACACACACCATACACCACCCAATACACACAGCACACAATAGACACACCACACAACATGACACACAGAACACATACAATAGATGCACGACACAACACAGATGTCCATACGCATATCATAAAGACACAACACACACATCACACACACACACGCCCTACATCATACGCCTGGAGAACCACAGATCCAAAGCCCCGTGTCCTAGTTATGCTTCTGACAAATTCCACTTGGTCTTGCCAGATGGAGAGTCGTTAATCCACACCATGTTCAGAGAGCAGAGGTAGCCTGGGGCCAGCGCCTGGGGAGCCTGCAGCTGTGCCCAGCCGGCCTGCCAGGCAGGGTCTGAGAAGACAGCCTCGCCAGGACTCTCAGTGCAGTGTCTGAGCTTGGAGGCCAGGGCTCCCGGGCCCCAGCGGGCTATTGTGGGACACCTCCCCAGGCCCTAGCCCCATGGAGCAGGTGCAGGGCTGCCCAGAGTAGTTGATGCCAGAGGGATTCAGTGCTCTGTCCTCCCGGGCTTGCACCCGAGGCGATGCTGGAGGCCCGGACCCTTGCCCAGTGCAGGAGCGGCAGGGCCTCCACCCTTCCCGTTTAGGGGCCTGCAGCTTTGCCACTGAAAGGGGTGAGCTGGAAAGAGACCGTGGGCTGTGGGTCACGCGGGAGGTGGGGAGCGGCCCCTCTGCTGTGGGAAGGCAGTTGCCACAGGCCTGGCTGACCTCATGGGTTATACAACCCAGGCCTGCCCCGAGGCTGCAGGCAGCTGCTCCCACTCTGTGGCCTGTGTGGGGATCAGCAGCTCTGGCTCCTAAACCACACGTGGCCCCCGACACCTCCTGACCCTTCGCAGAAGGCTGGGCAGCTTTCCCGGTATCCCCGCCTCCTGCCCTGAGCATGGCAGGGAAATGGAGTGATTAAAGCTTTTTGGGGATTATCAAGAAACGGCTAAATCACAGGTTCCCTCCCTGGGAACTCACGGCAAAGGGCAGATCAGCCTGTGGTCTGCTGAGGGTCAAGGCAGGGGAGAAGGAAGATGGTGTTCCAGCTTTATTTTTGTTTTATTATTTTTATTATTATTTTTGAGACAGAGTTTCTCTCTTGTCGCCCAGGCTGGAGTGCAATGGTGCGATCTCAGTTCACAGCAACCTCTGCCTACTGGGTTCCAGGGATTCTCCTGCCTCAGCCTCCTGAGTAGCTGGGATTACAGGTGTGTGCCATGCTGCCCAGCTAATTTTGTGTTTTTAGTAGAGATGGGGTTTCTTCGTGTTGGCCAGGCTGGTCTTGAACTCCCAACCTCAGGTGATCTGCCCACTTCGGCCTCCCAGTGTGCTGGGATGACAGGTGTGAGGCCCCAGCCCTCAGCCTCGAGCGTGACTCCTTCACTATCAGTGTCTTGGAAAGAGGCCTAGTTCTAGTGTCCAAAGTCCTGCAAAGGAAAATTGTAAAACTCGGAACTGCTCATACTTCCCTTTTACTTTTTTGAGACAAGGTCTTGCTCTGTTCCAGGCTGAGTGCAGTGGCGTCTTCAGATGTCCACCTTATCTTTTATAAAATGTGGTATTCCCTAAGCCTGGCTGCCTACTTGCCCCCCTCCCTACGTGCCAACCCCTCTTTAAAGAAACGTACAGGCCGGGCGCGGTGGCTCACGCCTGTAATCCCAGCACTTTGGGAGGCTGAGGTGGGTGGATCACGAGGTCAAAAGATTGAGACCAGCCTGGTCAACATGGTGAAACTCTGTCTCAACTAAAAATACAAAAATTAGCTGGGCGTGGTGGCTGGTGCCTGTAGTCCCAGCTACTCGGGAGGCTGAGGCAGGAGAATCGCTTGAACCCAGGAGGCGGAGGTTGCAGTGAGCCAAGACTGCACCACTGCACTCTGCACTCCAGCCTGGCAACAGAGAAAGACTCTGTCTCAAAAAAAAGTACAAACACAAAACCTGAAACTGCTTCAGAAAAGCAGCCACAGATGTGTCTGAAGCCCGTGTTTTTTGCAGAAGCTCCCTAGTGTGGCTTCATACCCCTTGGACGTGAGGATTCACCTCAGCCACTCATTCTGGTTGTCAGTCCTACATTGAGACATGGCTGGGTGACCCTGGGCTCGCCTCTAGGAATGTGCTTCCTTCTCTGAGAAGGTGCCTGGTGGGCCTCTGAGGGGCCTGGGAGGGGCTTTCTGCACCTGGTGGCTCTTCTCTTGCCCCTGCTCCCCGCCGTGGGGACTCGCCTCCAGTTCCCTCTGCAGGTCCTGGAAACACTCCCTTGCAGAGGCCTCTCCCACATCTCATCAAGCATGTTAAAACGCACCTGCGGCCCACAGCAAGCGTTTTTTGCTGTAAACTTTTTGTTTGAGACACAGTCTCGCTCCATTGCCCAAGCTGGAGTGCATTGGCATGATCTTGACTCACGGCAGCCTCTGCCACCTGAATCCAAGCAATTCTTTTGCCTCAGCCTCCCAAGTAGCTGGGACTACAGGCGAGCACCACCACGTCCAGCTAACTTTTGTATTTTTAGTAGAGAAGGGGTTTTGCCGTGTTGGCCAGGCTGCTCTCAAACTCCTGACCTCAGGTGATCCACTCTCCTTGGCCTCCCAAAGTGCTGAGACTACACACGTGAGCCACTGCACCCAGGTGATTTTTCTTTTTTTAAAGTATGTTTTTATTTGGAAACAGGGTCCCGCATGGTTACACAGACTGGAATGCAGTCTGTGATGTGGTGTGATCATGGCTGACTGTAACCTCAATCTCCCGGGCTCGAGTGATCCTCCTGCTTCAGCCTCCCAAGTGGCTGGGCCTGCAGGTGCATGCCACCACACCTGCCTGACTTTTTAATTTTGTTTTTTTGTAGAGATGGAGTCTTTGCTATGTTGCCCAGGCTGGTCTCAAACTCCTGGCCTCAAGTGATCTTCCCTCCTTGGCCTCCCAAAGTGTTGGGATTACAGGCCTGGGCCACTGTCCCCAGAGAAAGACTCTGTCCCCAGCCTGGTTATGATTTTTTTTTGAGACAGTCTCACTCTATAGCCCAGGCTGGAGTGCAATGGTGCGATCTCGGCTCACTGAAAGCTCCACCTCCCAGGTTCAAGCCATTCTCCTGCCTCAGCCTCCTGAGTAGCTGGGATTACAGGCACCCACCACTATGCCTGGCTAATTTTTGTATTTTTAGTAGAGATGGGGTTTTGCCATGTTACCCAGGCTGGCCTCACACTCCTGACCTCAAGTGATCCGCCTGCCTCAGCCCCCCTAAGTACTGGGATCACAGGCGTGGCCACGCTTCTGGCCCTAGCTGTGATTTCTTAGTGATCATGATGTATATTGGAAATTCTTAGAAAGTGAGAAACGCCACAAAATGTTTCTAAGTGTAGTGTCATTTTCCTGCATACTGAATGAGTTCACTCACAAGCAGTTAGAAAACCATTAGCAACTTAAGATTGCCCATGTTGGCAGAATTTACACCGTGGAAAGAGCAAACACTGCAAACCAGATAGGTGTACAAATCAGTGTGAGTGCACAAATCAGATAACTGCACAAATCAGTGTAAGTGCAAAATCAGTGTAACTGCACAAATCAGATAAGTGCACAAATCAGATAAGTGCACAAATCAGGGTGGTAATTCAGAGCAGCAGCCCTGCCCCTACTGATTTACTCCTAATCACTGAGAAATTATTTTTCTTTGAATCCCCAGGCGACTCAAACCTGTGGTCACCAATCTGGAAGAAGTTCAGGCTCCTGAGTCCACTGAGATGGCGTCAACAGGGACTGTAGCTCAAGAGGAACCAGGACTCAATTCCATCTAGAAGGAAAGAGGCAGCCCTGAGGGAGGTGCTCCCTGCCTCCCGCTCTGGGCTTGCTCTCGGCGAGTGGTAGTTTAGAGCAAGGGTTTCATCTTCGTAAGTCTTTGTATTTGCACTGCCGTTTCTTTACTGCTGCCACTTTATTCAGTAACCTTTAGCCTATTAATTGTGTTTATTTTATTTTCCTTTTTATCTTTCAGTGTTATTAGGCCCTGCCGGCAAACTGAGTTGAGGAGGGTGTGCCCAGCAGGGAGGAATGAAGGGCCACAGTGATTCAGCGATTCAGCGTCTGGGACTCAGCTGAGCCTTTCCTGCCCCTGAGGCAGGCGGCTGAGGAAGTCCTTGATCTTGAACCCAGCCCCTTAAGGTCTGCAGGTGGCCCCACCTTCAAAGTAAGAACTCCCCATGATTCCCCTGGGGCCTCTTCAGCCAGAGGAAGCCGATGAGCCTAAGAGGCTTCCTGAAAGGCGCTCAGGGACTCCTCAACAAAGCCTCCAGCTCCGAGAGGGAGTGTGAAATGGAGCAGGAGCTGCCAACAGGGGCAGTCGCGCATGGCACATTCAGCGGTGGGATACAGTGAACTGAAGGACAAATCAGACGTGTGTTTCAACTGAGCGAACGCTCAAAACAAGCTGCGGAGTGAAAAAATGCAGGTTCCCAAACCATGTGTAGCCCAGGCTGCCATTTATGAGAAATCACTCACACTGGACCAGTGCTTTGGGAGGCTGAGGCAGGAGGATTGATTGAGGCCAGGAATTCAAGACCAGCCTGGGCAACAAAGTGAGACCCTGTCTCTCGCTCCTGTAGTCCCAGCTACTCAGGTGGTCGAGCAGGAGGATCACCTGGGCCCAGGAGTTTGAGGCTGCAGTGAGCTATGATGGCCCCACTGCACTCCAGCCTGGGCCAGTGAGTGAGACCCTGTCTCTTAAAAACAAACAAATAAAAAAAGAGCAGTCCAGGAGCAGTGGCTCACGCCTGCAATCCCAGCGCTTTGGGAGACCGAGGTGGGTGGATCACCTGAGGTCAGGAGTTCAAGACCAGCCTGGCCACCATGGTGAAACCCTGTCTCTACTAAAAATACAAAAATTAGCTGTGTGTGTTGGCGGGCACCTATAATCTCAGCTGCTCAGGAGGCTGAGGGAGGAGAATTGCTTGAACCCGGGAGGCAGAGGTTGCCGTGAGCCGAGATTGTACCACTGCACTCCAGCCTGGGTGACAGAGTGAAACTGTCTCAAAATAAATAAGTAAATAAATAAAGCAAACCAAAAAAAGTACAACATTTATATACATTTTTGTATACATTTACATATAAATACGGAAATGGAAGTGTCTATATTTTATACACACTTTTAGAAACTGATTTCCTTATGAAATTCGACAGTTTTTAAAATCTAAATGTTTTGGCCAGGTATGGTGGCTCATGCCTGTAATCCCAGCACTTTAGGAGGTCAAGGAGAGTGGATTGCTTGAGGTCAGGAGTTTGAGACCACCTGCGCGACATGGCAAAACCCTGTCTCTACAAAAGATACAAAAATTACCTGGGTGTGGTGGTGTGTGCCTGTAGTCCCAGCAGCCTGTGGAGGCTGAGGTGGGAGGGTCGCCTGCACCTGGGAGGTGGAGGCTGCAGTGAGCGATGTTTGCACCTTTGCACTCCAGCCCTGGTGACGAAGTGGGACTCTGTCTCAAAAAAGATTTTTTTTTTTTTTTAACTAGATTGTTTTGTGTAAGCGCAAAAATCACAGGGCTTGAAGTGGGAAGTGGGAAGGTTGGGATGGATGTCTGGCTCTCCCCCTTGCTATGTACAGCCACAGGGCCATTCTTTAGGCTCCCACAGTCCAGCTGGCTCCTGGGTAAGGGGGGCATATTAAAAAGAGTGACTGGAGGCCAGGCAGGGAGGCTCACACCTGTGATCCCAGCACTTTGGGAGGCCAAGGTGGGTGGATCACCTCACGTCAGGAGTTCGAGACCAGCCTGGCCAACATGGTGAAACCCCGTCTCTACTAAAAAGACAGAAATTAGCCAGGCATGGTGGTGGTGCACGCCTGTAATCCCAGCACTTTGGGAGGCCGAGGTGGGTGGATCATGAGGTCAGGAGGTTGAGACCAGCCCAGCCATCACAGTGAAACTCCATCTTAAAAAAAAATATATATATATTATTTATATACTATATATTATATATATAATATATTATGTATATACTATATATTATATATATTATTTTATTATATAAAATATATATAAAATATAAAAAAATATAATATATATAGATAGATGCACAATATGAAAACGTAATTTAGGAGTCTTTTTTTTTTTTTTTGAGACAGAGTTTGCTCTGTTGCCCAGGCTGGAGTGCAATGGTGCGATCTCGGCTCATTGCAACTTCCACCTCCCGGGTTCAAGTGAGTCTCCTGTCTCAGCCTCCCAAGTAGCTGGGATTACAGGCTTGCATCATCATGCCCAGTTAATTTTTTTGTAGTTTTAGTAGACATGGGGTTTCACCGTGTTGGTCAGGCTGGTCTCAAACTCCTGACCTCATGATCCACCTGCCTCGGCCTCCCAAAGTGCTGGGATTACAGGCGTTAGCCACTGCACCCAGCCACAATTTAGAGTTTTTATAAAGACTGGCTCCAAATAAAATTCAAGGTCTCAGTGGGCACGGTGGCTCACCCCCGTAATCCCAGAACTTTGGGAGGCTGAGGCAGGTGGTTCATGAAGTCAGGAGATTGAGACCATCCCGGCTAACACGGTGATACCCCATCTCTACTAAAACTAAAAAAAACATTGCCAGATGTGGTGGTGCACGCCTGTAATCCTCCTGCTACTCAGGAGGCTGAGGCATGGGAATAGCTTGAACCCGGGAGGCAGAGGTTGCAGTAAGCCAAGATCACACCACTGCACTCCAGCCTGGGCGACAGAGCAACACTGTCTCAAAAATAAATAAATAAATAAAATTTAAAAAAAATTCAAGGTCTGTCCCCAGGGACATAGAAAAGAGAGTGGTCACAAAAGAGGCACCCCGTGCTTCCTGGAGGAGCCGTGGCCAGGGAACATCCCCTTCTAGCGGTTGGAGAAGGGAAGGAAAGAGGCAGACCTCTGGAGCAGGTTTCTCCTTCCCCGGGCTCTGTGCTGTGTGGACTGAGTGCTCACACACCCCGGGAGGCTGTTAGGGCTCTCGAGTTACAGATGCCGAAACCCAGGTGCTGCAATGCGAGAAAATTCTCTGAGTTACGTGCTGTGTGAGACGTTCCAGGACTTAATGACTTAAACATGTTTGGAAATTCAAGACCAGAGATTAAGAATATAGACATTGTGTCATCAAACCTGGTTTTTAATCACAGCGCCTCCGCCTATTAGCTCAAGGACTTTACACATATTCTTCCATGTCTCTAAGCCTCGGTTTTTATATTTTTAAACTAGTGCTGATTATAAGCCACCTCGGATTGAATAAAATGAAATAAGTAAAAAAAAAGGAAATTTGATTCAGGGGGCAGTTGAAAATCTGGGTTCAGGCCAGGTGCGGTGGCTCATGCCTATAATCTTAGCGGTTTGGGAGGTTGAGGCAGGCAAATCACCTGAGGTCAGGAGTTCGAGACCAGCCTGGCCAACATAGCGAAGTCCTGTCTCTACAAAAAACAGAAAAATCAGCCGGGCGTGGGGGCAAACGCCTGTAATCCCAGCTACTCTGGAGGCTGAGGCATGAGAATTGCTTGAACCCAGGACGTGGAGGTTACAGTGAGCCGAGACTGCGGCAGTGCCCTCCCGCCGGGACAACAGAGTGAGACTCCAAGTCATAATACTAAAGAGGTGGTTGCAGGAATCCTGTCATGTGGGGCAGGACTCGCTGGCAGCTCAGCAGACTCGGACGGACAGGCCAGCTGTGCAGGCTCACATCATGCTCTTTTGCTCCAGAGCGAATGCAGGAATGAAGCAGGACACCTGAGAGGACCCACAGACCCTGTGAAGGAAGCAGACTGCTCTGGCAGAACTCGGGAGACACCCCAAAGACTGCACTGGTATCCACGGTTAAGAGACCCACAGACAGTTCACATCCCAGGACTCTGTGCAGGCAACCCCAGTACCAGCAGCCTGGAGCTGGGTAGACCTGCTGGGTGCCTAGATCCAGAAGGCAGATAACAATCACTAGAGCTCTGCTCTCAGGAAGCCACGTCCGTAGGAAAGGGGAGAGCACTACATCAAGGGAACAGCCGTGGGACAAAAGAATCTGAACAACAGCCTTCGGCCCCAGACCTTCCCGCTGACACAGCCGACCCAAATGAGAAGGAACCAGAAAACCAACTCTGGTAATATGAAAAAGAAGCCTCCTTAACACCCCCAAAAATCACACTGGCTCCCCAAACCAAGAAAAAACCCCTAATTTACCTGAAAAAGAATTCAGCAGGTTAGTTATTAAGCTAATCAGGGAGGCACCAGAGAAAGGCAAAGCTCAGTGTTAAGAAATCCAAAAATGATACAAGAAGCAAAGGGAGAAATATTCAGGGAATGGCATAAATAAAAACCAATCAAAACTTCAGAAAATATGGGACACACAGAAATGCAAAATGCTCGGGAAAGTCTCAGTAATGGAATCGAACAAGTGGAAGGAAGCAATTCAGAGCTCGACATGGCACGTGCCTGTAACCCAGCTGCTCTTGGGGCTGAGGCAGGAGAATGGCTTCAACCTGGGAGGTGCAGGTTGCAGTGAGCTGAGACCTGTCGTTGCACTCCAGCCTGGGCAACGAGAGCAAAACTCCATCTCAAAAAAAAAAAGAGGCTCGGCACAATGGCTCACTCTTGTAATCCCAGCACTTTGGGAGGCCGAGACAGGCAGATTACTTGAGGTCAGGAGTTCGAGAACAGTCTGGCCCATATGGTGAAACCCCGTCTCTACTAAAAATGCAAAAAAATTAGCCGGGTGTGGTGGTGTGCACCTGTAATCCCAGCTACTCCAGAGGCTGAGGCAGGAGAATTGCTTGAACCCAGTGTTAAAAACTCACGCTTTGAATGAAGAGACTCCCAAACAGGCTTTGCGTGAGCAGCATGGCTGTTCATTCACCTGGGTGCAGGTGGGCTGAGGCCGAAAAGGGCGTTAGCAAAGGATGGTGGGATAGGAGTTGGTTTTATAGGTTGGGGCAAATCTTTTGGGGAGGAGGCAGGGGCGTTACAGAGCCAGATCAGTTACAGAGGTCGGGTAGGGACGAGGAGTATGCATTACTGTAAGTTCAGTTACAGTGGCGGCTGGGGTAAGGTCTCAGGTAGTTAAGACGGCAGGTGGGGTGAGGGGAAGCTTATGTCTGGGGGAAGCTCTGCTGAGCCATCAGGGATAGTGGCGAATGCAGGCGGGGTTGGGGATGTGGAGGTGGTCAGCTGAGGCAGGCAGGACTTCAGACTTTCTGGGTCCGGCTTTGCACATGGAGGCCTGACACCGAGGAGGTGGAAGTGGCAGTGAGCTGAGATCAGGCCACTGCACTCCAGCCTGGGTGACAGAGCAAGACTCCGTCTCAAAAAAAAAAAAAAAAAAAAGACAAAAAGGGACATCACATCATGATAAAAGACCTTATCCAACAGGAAAACATCACATTCCTAAACATATATGCACCTAACACCGGAGCACATTTATAAAACAATTACTAATAGACCTAAGAAACGAGATGCTAGTGAGGGAACTCCAGTACTCCCCTGAAGAAGGGAGGATGTGGGAAGGTGGGACACCTTTAAATGCTGGCCTGCTTTCGCATAGCAGAAGGAATGGGCCCATTGTGGGTGTCCCAGGAGAGTAGTCCCTAACCACCGCTCCTGCGCTGACTGACGATGGCTAGCACACCCTCGGTCTTTTTTTTTTTTTTGAGAGAGTCTTGCTCTGTTGCCCAAGCTGGGGTCCCGCGATGTGCTCTTGGCTCACTGCAACCTTCCTCTCCTGGGTTCAAGTGAGCACGTCTGGCTAATTTTTGTATTTTTAGTAGAGATGGGGTTTCACCACGTTGGCCAGGCTGGTTTTGAACTCCTGACCTTAAGTGATTCGCCCACCTTGGCCCCACAAAGTGCTGGGATTACAGGTGTGAAGCATTACACCTGGCCTGGTCTCAGTCCCCGGGCGCAGGGGACACCTGTTGGTTTTGCAGCATCTTCTCTCTCTCTGATAAAAGCACCCATATTTTTCTTTGTGAGACCACTCTGCCTCCGCTTTGTCTGTGGTTCCCCAGGTCAGCATAGGACTGGGGTTCAGCCAGAGTCTCCTGTTCCTTTGGTCACAGCAGTCTGTTCAAAGGTGGACACGTGACTCAAGCCAGATCAATGAGTGTCTGTATTACTCTGTTCTCACACTGCTACGGAAAGATACCTGAGACTGGCTGGGCGTCTGGGCTCACGCCTGTAATCCCAGCATTTTGGGAGGCCAAAGCTGGTGGATCACCTGAGGTCAGGAGTTCAAGACCAGCATGGACAAAATGGTGAGACCCTGTCTCTACTAAAAATAGAAAACTTAGCTGGGCATGGTGACATGTGCCTGTGGTCCCAGCTACTTGGGAGGCTGAGGCAGGAGAACTGCTTGAACCCAGGAGGCAGAGGTTGCAGTGAGCTGAGATCGTGCCACTGCGTGGCAGCATGAGCAACAGAAAGACTCTGTCCAAAAAAAACCAAAAAACAAAAAACCCTGAGATTGTGTAATTTATCAAGAAAAGAAGAAAGAAGTTTAATTGGCTCACAGTTCTGCAGGCTGCACATGAAGCATGACGCGGGCATCTGCCTGGCTTCTGGGGAGGCCTCAGAAAGCTTCCAGTCACGGCAGAAGGTGAGGAAGGAGCAGGCACCTAACACGAGGAGCAGGAGGGGAGAGAGGGAGGGGGCAGTGCCACAACTTCAAATCGCCAGACCTCTTGAGAACTCACCAGAACAGCAAACCACTCACGAGAACTCCACCCCATGATGCAGTCACTTCGCAGCAGGCCCCACCTCCAACACCGGGATTACAACTCGGCGCGAGATTTGGGCGGGGACACATTCAAACCATGTCAGCGTCTGTCTGAGGCGTTTGGTTGCAAATTCCAGGTAGAGACACTCTCTTCCCCTTAGGAGGGTGAAGCCAGCAGCATAGAATCCTGGAGCTGCCGGAGGCCGGCGTGCTAAGGTCTGAGAGGAGCCTGTTTGAGAAGGAAGTCAACACAGGGAATAGAGCCAAGAATGGAGACAGCAAGACCTCTGTTGGGGCCGGGAGCGGTGGCTCGTGCCGGTAAGGTGAGCAGATAACCTGAGGTCAGGAGTTCAAGACCATCCCAGCCAACATGGTGAAAACCCGTCTCCACTGAAAATACAAAAATTAGCTGGGCATGGTGCTGGGCACCTGTAGTCCTAGCTACTTAGGAGGCTGATGCTGAAGAATCGCTTGAACTTGGGAGGCGGAGGTTGCAGCGAGCTGAGATTGCGCCGATGCACTCCAGCCTGGCAACACAGTGAGACTCCATCTCAAAAAAAAAAAAAAAAAAAGATCTCTCTTGGAACCATGCGAACCCCTCACTCTAGCCATGCCTGAATTTGGTCTGTGACCCTCTTGGACATGACCCGGTATGATCCCACCTATGCTTTCCCCATCTGAGAAGGCTTTGTTGTTTGCAATCACGGGTCCTGGCCAGTCGCACCCACCTGCAAGAATAGCCAGCTGTTGATGAAAACGTCAGTCCGTAGGAATTCTAATGGTTGACATTTACTGGGCACCTTCCATGTGGACTCACTGTGCCCGATTTTGTATTTGTAATAGAGTTACACTTGAACATGTTTTATGAGTTTCCGTGGTGTGAAAACCCCTGTCGTTTACAACTCAGGCTCCTTTTTCTACTCCTCAGGGCTGGAACTTAGAAACCAGTTCCCCAAAATATGGTGCTTTGACATATGGAACTGAAGAAGCCTCGAGCTCTCTCTGATCTTCCCCAAAGAAGTCGTAGTTCTTTTATCTGGTTAAGATCCAGACCCACAGGAATAATTGTTTTTAAAACCAGGAATGTAACCAAACCTGAACAGAACTTGCCACAAAATAACGTGTCAGCCGATCTCTGTTCCCAGATGTCTTTCTTTTCCCTAGTAACCCTTTATTCCCCTCTTCCCTACTTCCCGTAAACTGTGTTGTCAGGACGGTATGTGAGCTTCTGAAGCCCACCAGGGCCTGGACACTCTGGTTCTCCCCATGCACATGTAAATTAATCTGTATGCCTTTTTTCTATTAATTAATGGGCGTTATGGCAGTGGTTTTTCAGGGAACCTCTGTGGGGTCTTGGCCCCTACAGAGGCAGCCACTTTCAACTTTTTCAGATTGATTTGTTTTTTCAGACAGGGTCTCACTCTCTCGCCTAGGCTGGAGTGCAGTGCTGTGATCTTAGCTCACTGCAGCCTGGACCTCCAGGGCTCAGGTGATCCTCCTGCCTCAGTCTTCTGAGTAGCTGGGACCTCAGGGACGTACCACCACACCTGGCTAATTTTTTACATTATTTGTTTGGCTGGGAGTGGTGGCTCATGCCTGTAATCCCAGCATTTTGGGAGGCTGAGGCAGGCGAATCACCTGAGGTTAGGAGTTCAACAGGGTGAAACCCGTCTCAAAAAAAAAATTATTTGTAGAGACGGGGGTCTTCCTATGTTGCCCAGGGTAGTCTTGAACTCATGGACTTATATGATATGCCCACTTTGGCCTCTCAAAGTGCTGGGATTACAGGTTTGAGCCACTGTGCCTGACCTTTTCACTGTGAACGGTTAGGATGCAGCTCATTTTTGCTCTCCGTCCCTACCACACTGCACACTTTACATCCTCCTCCTCCTCCTGATTTAGTCTTGTGGAGAATTTGTTTAGATCCACATTCGCTGCTTGTGTTTTTGACTTTATAAACTCTCTGCAGAGTGGGTGTGGTGTATACGCTATGCAATTTTCTGCACAGCAGGTGTAGTATACACTATACACTCTGCACGGCGGGTGTAGCATACACTCTATACACTCTGCACGGCGGGTGTAGTATACACTCTGTACACTCTGCACGGTGGGTGTAGTATACACTATACACTCTGCACAGCGGGTGTAGTGTACACTCTGTACACTCTGCACAGCGGGTGTAGTATACACTCTATACACTCTGCACAGCAGGTGTAGTGTACACTCTATACACTCTGCACGGCGGGTGTAGTGTACACTCTATACACTCTGCACAGCGGGTGTAGTATACACTCTGTACACTCTGCACGGCGGGTGTAGTGTACACTCTATACATTCTCTGCACGGCGGGTGTAGTGTACACTCTATACATTCTCTGCACGGCGGGTGTAGCGTACACTCTATACACTCTGCACGGCGGGTGTAGCATACACTCTATACACTCTGCACGGCGGGTGTAGTGTACACTCTATACACTCTGCACAGCGGGTGTAGTATACACTCTGTACACTCTGCACGGCGGGTGTAGTGTACACTCTATACATTCTCTGCACGGCGGGTGTAGTGTACACTCTGTACACTCTGCACGGCGGGTGTAGTATACACTCTATACATTCTCTGCACGGCGGGTGTAGTGTACACTCTGTACACTCTGCACGGCGGGTGTAGTGTACACTCTATACATTCTCTGCACGGCGGGTGTAGTGTACACTCTATACATTCTCTGCACGGCGGGTGTAGCATACACTCTACACATTCTCTGCACGGCGGGTGTAGCATACACTCTATACACTCTGCACGGCGGGTGTAGTGTACACTCTGTACACTCTGCACGGCGGGTGTAGTGTACACTCTGTACACTCTGCACGGCGGGTGTAGTGTACACTCTATACACTCTCTGCACGGCGGGTGTAGCATACACTCTGTACACTCTGCACGGCGGGTGTAGTGTACACTCTACACATTCTCTGCACGGCGGGTGTAGTATACACTCTATACACTCTGCACGGCGGGTGTAGTGTACACTCTATACATTCTCTGCACGGCGGGTGTAGTGTACACTCTGTACACTCTGCACGGCGGGTGTAGTGTACACTCTACACATTCTCTGCACGGCGGGTGTAGTGTACACTCTACACATTCTCTGCACGGCGGGTGTAGTGTACACTCTACACATTCTCTGCACGGCGGGTGTAGTATACACTCTACACATTCTCTGCACGGCGGGTGTGGTGTACACTGTGATGACTCTCCTCCATGACATTTTGTATATCCTACGGTTAATAATTGTCCTTCTCTAGGTTGGAATGATAAGTAAAAAGATTTGTGTTTTTATTTTTCATTTGCCTGGTACATGTATTTGTGACTACTTCAACCCAGACTCTCCCCTTAGTGGAGATATTCAGAGCATTCGGTTCCATCTCAGAGCCTCCTACTTTGCTCCAGGCCTGGGCCACAGCTCTTGTCTTGGGATTTCCCTTCGCCATTATCTAGAGAGTTCTTTGCTCTTCACTGCGTCCTGCTCTCAGTGCCTTCTTGTTCTAGCCCCTCATTTTGGCAGAGCACATCCTTCAGCAGTCCTGGAAAAAAAGAAGGCTGCTCGCGAGGTCCATTTTTGGGCACTTCTCTGAAAGTGTTTCTCACACACACTTGCCGTAGGTGGGATATCATTTTCCCTTAGAAATTTAGAGATCGAGTGTAATTTAGGCATTGGAGGAGCTGTGGTTGTAACACTCTACAAGATGGGTTTTCCTGAAGCTGCCCGGTCTTTTAGAACTTATCAGATTGAAGCTGCTCCTACAGATGGATTTAAGGCAAATCTTGTCTTTAAGGAGATTGAGAGGAAACTTGAAGAGATAGGAAGGCTGATGGCACAATCAGTGGCTGACTCAGACTTACGGGCTTTAATGACTGGTAGAGTGAATGAATCCTCAGTCCGCCTTCTTTCCAGGCAAATTGAAAGTTACTGGCAACGCGGATCTGGCCATGAAGTTACGAAACCTTCAGCCTCAGCCAGGCAGAGCTAAGCCGTGAACTCCCTTCGGCTACTTTTGAAAATCAAGATGAGATATACAGATATAGACACGTATATTTCATTGTCAGAGTTTAGACTAAGGCTACACACTGGCTGATCGTGTGGAATAGATTTGTTTTTAAGTGCTTTCCTGAGCTGCATGCAACGGTGCGTTACAAAGTTAATACGGTAATTCCGGTCTGGGTAAAATTGAGTTTCAGAATAAAATTAGGAACAGTAAAATCCAAAAGCCCATGTAAAGAAGAAAGCTTTGTTTTGCTTACAAAGTATATTTAGGGATGATTCTGCTGAAGATTCAATTTAACAGTTTTCCTTGGGAGAGCTAAGAAACACAAAACCGACGCTGGCCGGTAATTAGTGTTGTGCACTTAATGCCCTGAATCAATTTCTCATTAATAGTTCTTAAAATCAGTGAGACTAAAACAATCTAAAAATTGTGTATTTCATGCCATCAGAAACAGTAATTTCTTCCCAAATCAAAATAAAAGTAATGTGATCAGAGCTTGAACACAGGCTTAGTTTTAAAATAAAAATATTTTTAAATGGGTTTCCTTCTGGAAAAACAGTGTCTTAGTCATAAAACACTATCATTAAGAATGATTGAATAATAAAGTTTGCTTTGAGATGCACAGTTTTTAAATTATAATCTCATATACAAATGTATAAGGTTCTTAGCCCTTTGTTGTAATTTGCATTTTTCATGTAAGTGTAATTATCACCGTTTATCTTTTTTCCTAGTTTTTCTAATACTGATGTTATTTCTTACACTTCGGTGAGGTATGGGATAAAATAATGCTTTTGGAAGAATGTTTAATAGAAAATTAAAATAGCTTTCTCTGGTTAAAAAAAAAAAAAGAAATTTAGAGATCCTGGCTGGGTGCAGTGGTTCACGCCTGTAATCCCAGCAGGGTGGGAGGCTGAGGCGGGTGGATCACGAGGTCAGGAGTTCAAGACCAGCCTGGACAACATGGTGAAACCCTGTCTCTACCAACCCCAGTGAGTTAAATAAGCATAAAAATTAGATGGGCATGGTGGCGGGCACCGTCATCCAGCTACTTGGGAGACTGAGGCAGGAGAGTCGCTTGGAAGCAGAAGGTGGATGTTGCAGTGAGCTGAGATCGCACCACTGCACTGCAGCCTGGGCAACAGGAGAAAAACTCCATCTCAAAAAAAAAAAAAAGAAAAGAAATGTAGAGATCCCATTCCACTGCCTTCCGGCATTCGGAGTTGCTGTCGAGAAGGCTGATGCCATTCTGATTCTTTTTATTGTTGTTTTGAGACAGGACCATCCTCCGTGGCCCAGGTTGGAGTGCGGTGGCACAATAAGGGTTCACTGCAACCTCGACCTCCCTGGCTCAAGGGATCCTCCCACCTCAGCACCCCCACCCCACCCCAACCCCAGCAGCTGGGACTACAGGCGTGCACCGCCATGCCCAGCTAGTATGTACGTTTTAATTTTAGTGGAGACACAGCTTGCTATGTTGCCCCGGCTGGTCTCAAACTCCTGGGCTCAAGGACCCTCCCGCCTCAACCTCCCAAGTGTGAGCCACCATGCTCAGCCCTGTTCTGGTTCTTGATCGTTTGTGTGAACCAGTTTTTTTGTTTTGTTTTGCTTTCTAAAGCTTGTCGGATCTTCTCACTGTCCCGTGAGTTATCCCAGCAGATCTAGAGATGAACAAATCACAGTCTGGAGAAGACAGTCGTGCTGGTTATCTCCTATTGTGTAATAACTTACTCCAAAGTCAGAGGCTGAACACAATGAATATTTGTTGTCTCACAGCTTCTGTGAATCAGGAATCGAGGTGCAGCTTAGCTGGGTGCCTCCCACTCAGTGTGTCACAACAAGATGATCAAGTGATCTCTGGGGCTGCGGTCATCTCAGAGGTGTGGCTGGAGGAGGACCTGCTCTGAAGGTCACTCACATGGCAGCTGACCAGCTCCAAGTACCTGCTGACTGGCTAAAGGCGTCCTTGCCACATGGGCCTGTCCTTGGGACACAGGAGAATGATAGTTGGCTTTCTCCTGCTATATTTGAAACCACCTTTGCAAAAGTTATAACAGTAAAAAAAGTATGACAGTGAAAGAAATCTCACCTAATCAACCCCATCTTACCTTCAACCTCCAAACTGCCTTTGGTCGTTCAAAGGTGTAGGCCGAGCTAACTTTGGGAGGGATTTAGCTGATAGTTTGAATGATAACAGGCCCTTCCAAACCTAAATTTCCTTTGTAAAACTAAAGAAAGGCCACCAGGTGAGGAGGGTGAAAGGGGCACGAATTCCGCTAAGATGTGGGTGTCATGAAATGATTACCAGCCACTATTCCAGAAGTCACAAGGTTTGCCACTTCCCCAGTTCCTCCTGAAAATAACAGCACTATTGTAAAAGCTGAGATTGGCCTTTCGAAATCTCTTTTCAGGGTTTCACATTACTGATGACCAGAAGGTCCCATCCCAACCAGCAGCTCCTCTATGGACACCACCCAGAGGCGGACTCAGGGCACAAGGGCCAGTTTCCACACCCCATGATTGCATCCCCAACCAATCAACGGCACACACTCCTAGCCCCCTGCCTGCCAAACTCTCTTTAGAAGACCCTGGCCTCTGAATTTTGGGGCAGGCTAATTTGAGTAATAATAAAACTCTGGTATCTCATTTTGCCAGCTCTATGTGTATTAAACTCTCTATTGCAATTCCCCTGTCTTGATAAACCACTGTGCACGCCTGGAGTCCTGGCTACTCTGGGGGCTAAGGCGGGACAGTTTGAGCCCAGGAGTTTGAGGCTGCAGTGAGCTATGATTGTGCCACTGTACTCCAGCCTGGGCAACAGAGTGTGCCTCTGTCTTTGAAAAATAAATTTAAAAATGAGTCAATTAGCCCAGCCCACATTCAAGGAAAGGGTATTACACAGAAAGTACCAAGGGGCAGGGATCACCGAGCGTGACGGTAGAGGCTGCTCCCACAACAGGCAAACGAAGCATGACAGCGTGTGTGGCGGTACGCGCCGAGGGGGCCAGACGCGGTGGCTCACGCCTGCAATTGCAACACTTTGGGAGGTCGAGGCAAAAGGATCAGTTGACACTAGGAGTTTGAGACCAGCCTGGGTAACATAGTGAGACCCTGTCTCACCCCCAAAAATTTTTTTAATGAAAAGTAAGTGTTGAGAGAGGAAATCACGGGCTGTTGCAGGCACATGGGAAAAGTAATACCAGCCTCTGCCTGAGGAGACCAAGAGGGCTTCCCAGAGGAAGAAGCTCTGGGTTGAGACTTGAAAGATGAGAAGACATCCCAGTGGACCAGAGGGTATCAGAGCATCCCAGGTGAACTAGGTGGCTCACGCCTGTAATCCCAGCACTTTGGGAGGCCGAGGTGGACAGATCACTAGAGGTCAGGAGTTTGAGACCAGCCTGACCAACATGGTGAAACCCGTCTCTACTAAAAATCCACAAAACTGGCCTGCATGGTGGCTCACACCTGTAATCCCAGCACTTCGTGAGGCCAAGGCAGAAGAATCACCTGAGGTCAGGAGTTCAACACCAGCCTGACCAACATGGCAAACCCCCATCTCTACTAAAAATACAAAAATCAGCTGAGCCAGTGGCAAGCGCCTGTAGTCCCAGCTGCTTGGGAGGCTGAGGCAGGAGAATCTCTTGAACCCAGGAGACTGAGGCTGAGTGAGCCAACATCACGCCATTGCACTCCAGCCTGAGCGACAGAGCGTGACTCCATCTCAAAAAAAAAAAAAAAAACAGAAGGGCTTGTTGAACACTCCCCTTGAACCCACCCAGCGGCCTCCAGAGCTCGGCCCAACCTCCCCCTTCAGAGTTCTTGGAAGCCCTTAAGGCCTGGAGCTGACTACTTGCTGCTGACCTGCCAGCCTTGGGGCCCCTCCTTCTCTATGTGACTGTGGGCGAGTGGCTCACCCTCTTGAAGAAGAGGAGGCTGGACCAGCTGCTCCCGGTGGTCCCTGCCAGTGCGGGCTTGCCACAATTCCATCTCCCCCGGCCTCTCCAGGTTCTCTGGGGTCTAGGCTGTCATTGCGGCGTGGATTGTTTGCTGGAAATGCAGTGTAACGCGCACTCCGGCACCCTCGTGGCCATCTGACTTCCTCCTTCTCTCTGCTCAGGTGTGCCCCAGGCAGCCTCAGAGGCCGGGTTGAGCTCGGCTTCTCATCTGAATCCTGCAAACCTCTTTTGAGGTCTGGTCTTGTTCCCAGCTGAGCAGTCAGGTACGGTGTGTGGGGTCTCTTGGTCTGGGATATGCCCAGGGTGCATGAGTCATCAGACAGACAAGGCCTTTCAGAAGCCGGACCGTGCATCCCTGCTCTCCAGCCATGACCGTTTCTATTCATCAGAGACCGTCTTTAAGGAGGTACCGAGAAAGCGTCTTGTGTTCAGGGCAGCGTGTTATAACTTGGCACATCCTCTGCAGTGAGGCTGTTTTCCAGATCTGGCCAAAACCCTTCAGGAAGGCTTAAAACAAAGCTGCATTTTGGTGGAACCCATCTCTACCCCAGCTTGGTGGTGCGAACCTGTAGTCCTACTACTCGGGAGGTTGAGGCAGGAGAACCGCTTCAACGCAGGTGGAGGTTGCAGTGAGCTGAGATCACGCCACTGCACTCCAACCTGGAGACAGCGAGACTACATCTAAAACAAAACAAAACAAAACAAAACTATTGTTAGCCGGGCGTGGTGGCGCGTGCCTGTAATCCCAGCTACTCGGGAGGCTGAGGCAGGAGAATCGCTTGAACCCGGGAGGCGGAGGTCGAGATGAGCCGAGATCACACCAGTGCACTCCAGCCCGGGGAACAAGAGCAAAAGTCCATCTCAAACAAACAGACAAACAAAAGCTGCATTCTAAGGGCTTCTGGGTGGAGGAATCAGATTAGATCCACTCCGCTCAGCTTTCCCTTCCCGGAAGTGGGCGCTCAGCCCTCTGGGTGGGAAGGGGACTCACTCCGTTCCCCTCCTGCCCTCCTTGGCTGGTCGGCCCACACCTGCCCGGGGCCAGGGCTGCAGTTGCTGTTGGCAGCCAAATGGTCTGGGCTGTTAGGTAACAGATCTTGGCCAGACATTCTGGTTCCGCAGGTACAGCCTACAAGTTAAAAATCGTTCAAAAAATGCAGGGCAGCTGGCTAAACACACACAGGCCCGGGGGGACGGTTGTGGGGCAGAGGTCATGGTCGGTAGAGGGACGTGTTCCCCACAGGGGTTCTGGGCTCAGAGCTCTGACTCCAAAGGAAGCATCAAGCTCAGGGACCAGTGTCCAGAGGTAGGGTTTGCAGCCCAACGGCCTCTTAGCTGTCTTCTGTGGAGTGGCTCCGTCTCCCTCTGCAGCCCACGTGTAAGCCGCCCTGCCTGACCCGGGCTCACGCTCCCTCCACCTGCGTCTGCCTGACCCGGGCTTACACTCCCTCCACCTGCGTCTGCACTGGCCTCTTGCGGGTTTTGTCGTTGCTTGTTTTTGTTTTTGAGACAGAGTCTCACTCTGTCGCCCAGGCTGGAGTGCAATGGCTTGGTATCAGCTCACTGCAAACTCCGCCTCCCAGTTCAAGTGTATCTCCTGCCTCAGCTTCCTGAGTAGCTGGGATTACAGGTGCACACCACCACGCCCAGCTAAGTTTTGTATTTTCAGTAGAGACGGGGTTTCACCATGTTGGTTAGGCTAGTTTCGAACTCCTGACCTCGTGATCCACCCACCTCGACCTCCCAAAGTGCTGGAATTACAGGCATGAGCCACTGCACCTGGCGCTAATTTTTTTTTGTTGTTGTTAGTAGAGACTGGGTTTCACCATGTTGGCCAGGCTGGTCTTGAACTCCTGACCTCAAATGATCTGCCCACCCTGACCTCCCTAAGTGCTGGGATTACAGGCGCAAGCCACCACGTCCGGCCAGCCTTGTGTTTGTTATCTTGATGTCTTCCTCCATTTCCCGGCTTTTAGGCGCCTCTAACCCTCCCCTCTTCTGTCTTTTCCTGGTTTCTCTCCATTGCCCCTGCTCCTCTCTACCCACTAGGTAATGGGATGAGTTTTCCTTTCTCCCCTCCTTAAACTCAGCCCCCACCTTAAGTCTCTGGAAATCAGCCTGGTAGAGGGAGGCAGCCGCTGGCCCCTCCATCTGTGACCTTGGGGAATTCTGGTCACCTCTCTGGGCCTCTGTCAAATGGGGACAGTAATGCCCGTTGATCCCCTGCCTCACAAAACGGCTGGGAGCATCCAGGAGGTGACACCGATTTCTGGACACGCGTATAAGAACTTAGGAGAAGTTTCCTTCCTTTCATTCATTTGCTCCATACTTAGGCACATGTAATCTAGCCAGGCACTGTGCCGGGGTCTGGGGGCCACAGGAGGAATGAAAGGCACGTGGAGAGCATCCTTAAATCCGCTCATCTGAAAACCACAGAGAGCTTTGAAAAGGACAGACTCCTTTCCGCCCCCCAGACCTCCTGGGTGGGAACCTGCGAAGGTGGGCAAGGGAGGTGGGGGCTGTGTCTGTGTTTCCTTGGGCTTTTTGTGACACAGAGTATCCCTCTCTCAATGAGGCTGGAGTGCAGTGGTGTGGTCTCGGCTCACTGCAACCTGCATTTGCCTCCTGGGTTCAAGCGATCCTCTCACCTCAGCCTCCCAAGTAGCTGGGACCACAGGTGAGCATCACCACCCTCCTAATTTTTTGTATTTTTAGTAGAGACAGGGTCTCACCACGTTGCCCAGGCTGGTCTCGAACTCCTGGGTTCGAGGGATCCTCCCTGCCTCGGCCTCCCAAAGTGCTGGGATTACAGGTGTGAGCCTCGGTGGCCAGCCTGACTCTGGTTGCTTGTTGGTGTTGTTTTGTTTTGTTTTTGAGATGGAGTCTCGCTCTTGTTGCCCAAGCTACAACGCACTTTCTCGATCCCGGCTCACCACAACATCCATCTCCCAAGTAGCTAGGACCACAGGCATGTGCCACCATGCTCAACTAATGTTTTGTATTTTTGGTAGAAATGGGGTTTCACCACGTTAGCCAGGCTTGTCTTGAACTCCTGACCTGAGGAGTTCCACCCTCCTCGGCCTCCCAGAGTGCTGGCATTTTGGGCATGAGCCGCCGTGCCCAGATGATGCCTGTGTTTTTATAGTTCTGCGAGTGAGCCGGCTCTCGGGGTTGGAAACAGCGTGTGAAGGAGGACGGTGGGCTGGGGCTGACCGGGTCCGTCCAGGGAATGATTGGACTGGCCAGGGCGGGGGGAGGGAGGAAGTGGGAGAAGCCAGGGACAGGGAAGCAGAGGGGAATCTTTCTTCCGCCCCTTGCTGGGTCAGCCCCTGCACATCTGTGCCCAGACTGGCCGGAGATTGAAGGCCTGTGATGAATTCCCTTCAAAAGTGATGAAAGTGCCACAGAGGAAATGTGACAGCTCTAACCGTTTCTTCATGATAGGGGCCTTCTCCCCGCAGGGATATTTGATAGGATGTTTTCCTCAAAGATCAGCCTCTCCTTGTTCGTTTTGTCTAGAGAGCTATCCTAAACCTGGGCCTAGGTTTTCCACTTTGTTTTTGGTGTGTGCAAATTCTTAAAAGCAGGGCTTGCTCATTTCTTTAAATATTGGTGTGGTATTTCCTGTTTGTGAAGCAGTCCCTAAGTTTTACTGCCTGGACATTTAAATGCATGCCCATTAAGGAATGCGGCCCGGAGCCGGGTGCGGGGTTCATGCCTGTAATCTCAGCACTTTGGGAGGCCGAGGCACGCAGCTCATTTGCGCTCAGGAGTTCAGGACCAGCCTGTCCAACGTGGTGAAAACCCATCTCTACTGAAAATACAAAAAGTAGCCGGAGTGGTGGCACAAGCCTATAATCCCAGCTACTCGGGAGGCTGAGGCAGGAGAATCACTTGAACCCGGGAGGTGGAGGTTACAGTGAGCTGAGATTGCTCCACTGCATTCCGGCCTGGGGGGCAGGGTGAGACTCCATCTCAAAAAAAAAAACAAAAAAACAAAAACAGAGTACTAACAACAACAGCAATCCCTAACGCCTCCAGCCTTGATGGTTTAGAAAGGCCTTTTAAAGTTTTTATTGGTAGGACATGGTGGCTCATGGCTGTAGTCTGAGGTGGGAGGCTGGGGGGAGGATCGCTTGAACCTCAGAGGTTGAGGCTGTCGTGAGCCGTGTTGGCACCACTGCACCCCAGCCTGGACAGCACAGAGAGACCCTGTCTCTACAAAAAGTCCAAATCGGCGGAGAGTGGTGATGCGTGCTTACAATCCCAGGCATTCAGGAGGCTGAGCTGGGAGGATCTCTTGAGCCTCTGAGGTTGAGGCTGCAGTGAGCCGAGATCCTGCCTTTGTACACCAGCCCGGGCGACAGAGTGAGAGTCTGTCTCAGAAAAAAACAAAAAACTAACGAAGAAAAATGTTCACAGTGAGTTTGCTTGTCACGTGACAATTTTTTGACTACCCAGCCCCTGTTGATACCAAAGGCAGAGAAGAAAACAGAGTAAAATTCCTTCCTGATGGAGCCGCATTCCTGGGAAGAGAGGTCGGAACGCACGAGGACCAGACAGATAAGAACACGTTTAGAATCTCAGATTGTGATAAAATGCCAAGGAGGAAAACAGAACAGGGGTGAGGAGTGTGACAGCCAGCCACAGAGGCCGGACTGGAGTTTCAGGTAAGGGGAGCCTGGGAGTCCTCCTGAGCAGGTAACTTTTAAAACTCTCATCACTGAAAATTTCAGATATACGTAAAAGTAGAAAGAACAACGAAATGAATACCCATATATCCACTATCTAGTATCGACAAATACTGCCGACTGGGTTTTATCTAATTTCCCCCCGATCTTCTCTTTATTTTTTCATGCTGGAGTTTTTAAAAGCAAATCCGAGAAGGAACATGAATTTTCCCGTAAATACTCCAGTAAGCATGAAAACTGATAAGGGTTTTTGAAAACATACATCTACCCTGCCTTTACGCCCCCACAAAACTAACAAAAATTCCAGCCATGCACGGTGGCTCACACCTGTAATCCCAGCACTTTGGGAGGGCGAGGAGGGCAGATCCCCAGGTTAAGAGTTTGAGACCAGCCCGGTCAACATAGTGAAACCCCGTCTCTACTAAAAATACAAAAATTAGCCAGGTGTGGTGACAGGCGCCTGTAGTTCCAGCTACTTGGGAGGCTGAGGCAAGAGAATGGTGTGAACCTGGGACACGGAGGTTGCCATGAGCTGAGATTGCGCCATTGCACACACACCAGCCCAGGTGACAGTGCAAGAGTTCGTCTCAAAAAAAAAATTCTACTTTTGAACAGGATTGTGAAGACTACAGGATTATGGTAAAAATATTACAGAAACAAAAAATGAAATAATGACTGACTACAGCGAAATGAAATATGTACACACTGGACAAGCGGGAAGAACTAGACAGAAAGAAACCACCTTGCTGGGCTGGAAAACTGAGATCAGAGGCGGTTTGTTCTTCCTCTGAAATTTCCTTTCATGCCTCCAGGTTGTTTATACAGCAATTCCTTTTAAGAAGTCGGGCTGGGTGAAAGGCTGGAAGCAGGAGGAAAGCATGCCCCGCCTCATCTCCTTCCTCTTGGCAGTCCTGCCTCCAGCCCCCCGCGTGGAGCTGTCCCTGCCCCGCACCTGGGAGACTGCAAGGAGCCGGGGAGCCCACTCCATCCCAGTGTGCCAGTAGCAAGCCTGGCACCGGGCACTGCAGAAGCAGACGTGCTGGCTGCGCCCTTTTTCTCAGCCCACCTCTCTGAGTTCTTTACATACTTTACCTCCATTTAAGCCTCACAGAGCTCCATGAGGTAGGTGCCCAGTGAGAGGCGGGGAAGTTACCCAACTCTCAAAGCTGGAGAACTGGGTAAGCCACCTGAGGTCCCACAGAGGGTAGAGCACAGAGCCCCACTCAAGGCTCTGCCCCTTCCCTCCGTTTCCCACAGCTGTGCTGAGCACCCATGAGCAGTGCCACCCAGCTCACAGCACAGCGGAGCCGGCTCTTTCAGCTCTGGCTTTCGCATGTGCTCTTAGGTGATAGTGGGGGGGCCCTGGGGAGGAATCTGCCTCCCCGGACTTGGACTCAGCTCCCCATGGGTCTGAACTGCACAGAGGATGGCAGGACCATCACCTCCACGGCTCACTGTTCCTCTACGCATTCCACACACCTCTGCAAGGACTCTGTGTGCCAGGCACTGTGATGTCTGAGATGTTTGTAATAAGCTCTGTCAGACAGAGGGAGGGAGACATGGCAACAGAGAAGTGTCATGAAATACTCTCTCTCTTTTTTTTTTTTTTTTGAGACTGGGTCTCACTGTTGCCCAGGCTGGAGTGCATTGGCACCATCACAGCTCACTGCAGCCTCAACCTCCTGGGCTCAGAGGATCCTTCCCCCTCCGCCTCACGAGTAGCTGGGATTGCAGGTGCATGCCACCACAACCAGCTTTTTTTTTTTTGAGATGGAGTCTCACTCTGCTGCCCAGGCTGGAGTGCGGTGGCATGATCTCACTTCACTGCAACTTCTGCCTCCTGGGCTCAAGCAGCTCTCCTGCCTCAGCCTCCTGAGTAGCTGGGACTACAGGCGAGCACCACCATAAGGATCGATTAAGCCCAGAAATTTGAGACCAGCCTGGGAAACACGTGAGACCCTGACTCTATAAAAACATTAAAAAATTAGCCAGGTGTGGGCCGGGCGCGGTGGCTCACGCCTGTAATCCCAGCACTTTGGGAGGCTGAGACGGGTGGATCACAAGGTCAAGAGATTGAGACCATCCAGGTCAACATGGTGAAACCCCGTCTCTACTAAAAATACAAAAAATTAGCTGGGCATGGTGGCGCGTGCCTGTAATCCCAGCTACTCGGGAGGCTGAGGCAGGAGAATTGCCTGAGCCCAGGAGGCGGAGGTTGCGGTGAGCCGAGATCGCGCCATTGCACTCCAGCCTGGGTAACAAGAGCGAAACTCTGTCTCAAAAAAAAAAAAAAAAAAAAAAAAAAAAAAATTAAAAATTAGCCAGGTGTGGTGGTGCCCGTCAGCAGTCCCAGCTGTTCAGGAGGCTGAGGCGGGAGAATCACTCGAGTTCAGGAGTACAAGGCTGCCGTGACTCCCCGCACTCCAGTCTGGGTGACAGACCAAGACACTGTCTCAAAAAAAATTAATTAAAATTTAAAAACAATTTTTCAAAAAGGGGGGCAGAAAGGCAGGTCAGGTGCTATGGCTGACGCCTATAATCCTAGCACTTTGAGAGGTCAAGGTGGGCAGATCACTTGAGGTCAGGAGTTTGAGACCACCCTGGTCAACATGGAGAAACCCCATCTCTACTAAAAATACAAAATTAGCTGGGGGTGGTGGCGCATACCTGTAATCCCAGCTACTCAGGAGTCTGAGGCAGGAGAATCGCTTGAACCCGAAAGGTGGAGGTTGCAATGAACTGAGATCACACCACTGCACTCCACCCTGGGCAACAGAGTGAGACTCCCTGTCAATAAATAAATTAATTAATTAATTAAATGAAAAGGAAAGGCACACGAAGTTCCAGGTAGCAATATCCCTGGGGAAGAAGCCTCAGTCAGTATCCATCCTCACAGGTAATGAGGACCTCCTGAACACGGAAGGAGACGCTTCTACGCTGCTCAGCCTGGCCTCACTCTGTGCACTCAGGGCTGAGCCTGCCAGCCACAGGGGCAACGGGATTCGAAAGCCCAAGTTGATTTCAGGATGGCAGACTCTGTTTTAGGGGTGTCAGAGTGGAATAGAGTTCACCCGCTTGGGCTGGGCGTGGTGGCTCACACTGTAACCATAGTGCTTTGGGAGGCTGAGGTGGGCAGATTGCTTGAGGCCAGGGATTCAAGTCCAGCCTGCCCAGCACAACGAGCCTCCTATCTCTATTGAAAAAAAAAAATCATTGGCTGGGCACAGTGGCTCACACCTGCAATCCCAGCACTTTGGGAGGCTGAGGCAGGTGAATCACCTGAGGTTAAGAGTTCAAGACCAGCCTGGCCAACATGGTGAAACCCCATCTCTACTAAAAATATGAAAATCAGCCAGGCATGGTGGCGCATATCTGTAGTCCCAGCTACTCAGGAGGCTGAGGCATGAGAATCAGTTTTTTTTTCTTATTTTTTTTTTTAATAAAGACAGGGTTTCACCATGTTGGTCAGGCTGGTCTTGAACTCCCGACCTCAGGTGATCCTCCCGCCTTGGCCTCCAAAGTGATTGGATTACAGGCATGAGCCACCATGCCTGGCTGAGAATCACTTGAACCTAGGAGGTGGAGGTTGCAGTGAGTCGAGATTTTGCCGCTACACTCCAGCCTGGGTGATAAAGCAAGACTCCATCAAAAAAAAGAAAAAGAAAAAGAAAAAGAAAAAAAGACGGGGTGTGCTATGTTGTCCCAGCTGGTCTCCAACTTCTGGCCTCAAGCAATCTCCTCATCTCAGCCTCCCAAAGTGCTGGGGTTACAGGCGTGAGCCACGGAGCCCAGCTGGCGACCCTTTTTTTGTCAGTCCCCATTCAGGGGGTTCTTCCTTACACCAGGTTACATTTTCTGCTGCAGTAATTATAAATATAATAATTTTATTGTTTTCCTGTCATTACAGAGCATTTGAGAACATCTGAATTACAAGGAAGGTACAAATATTGCCATTCAGCCCCCACCCTGGAAACATAACTTGCTCAGGTATGTTTTCTTTTTTTGAGATGGAGTTACGTCACCCAGGCTGGAGCGCAATGGCACGACAGTCAATGGGACAATCACGATTTTGCTTGGTTTTGTTGCTGGTAACTTACACTAAAAGCCCCATGGTTCTGCCTGGATCCCCCTCCCAAAGCTTGGCTTGCTGCTGATTCTCTGATGTGAGAGCAGGTGGTTCCCGCCTCCCGGCTTGGATGCCGGAGTGTCTATGTGGCTCAGCTTGTGAGATCCTGGAAAGCGTCCATCAGTCTCTGTCCTCATCCGGTTGGCTTAAGATCTCAGGCTAATCTGCCCAGCCCAGCAACCACTCCCTCATCCTCTGAGCCGGCCCGATGCCAAGGCCCACCTTCTTCAGCTCCCACATTTCTCCCAAGGCTACATTCCGGAAGCCTCCACCGGCCCAACCATTCGCCTCGCCTCTGGTTTATCAGCACAATCCCCAGTACCTGGACGTTCCAACTGCCCCCTGCATGAGCATTCCATGGAAACCCAAGACCTTTTCACAAGTTGTTCCTTCATTCAGAGCCCCACAGGGCTTTCCCATTCCACGCAAACCAAGTCTTCATAGTGGCCACGATCTCCAAGGCCACTGGGCTCCTGGCGGCTCCTCCAAGACGTCATGCATGCTTCTGCCTCGGGGACTTTGGCTGACTGCCCCTCCATGTGGAATGCTCCCCCTCAAGTATCCATTTTGCTACATCTCTCTTTTAAGTTTTTGTGGAAACCTCACCTTCTCAGTGAAACCCACCTTGTCCCCACCTCTTTTTTTGTGACAAAGTCTTGCTCCCGTTGCCCAGGCTGGAGTGCAATGGCACGAGCTCTACTCACTGCAACTTCTGCTTCCCGGGTTTAAGCCATTCTCCTGCCTCAGCCTCCTGAGTAGTTGGGATTACAGGTGTCCGCCACCATGCCTGGCTAATTTTTTGTATTTTCAGTAGAGATGGGGTTTCACCTTGTTGGCCAGGCTGGTCTCAAGCTCTTGACCTCAGGTGATCTGCCCACCTGACCTCCCGAGGTGCTGGGATTGCATGAACACCCCGCCCAGCCGTCCCCATGTTTATACTGCAGCCTGCATTCCCACCAGCACTCTGAGTCCCTTTCCCTGCCGTCCTTTTTTTTTTAATAACTCTTATTACCTTCTAACATACCACATAAGTAACTCATGTATTGTGTGTATTTATTGCTGACGACACGACCAGAACCCGGGCTCCATGAGGCAGGGATTCCCATCTCTTCTGTTCTCGCACAGATCTGGGGTGTGTAGAGGGCACCCACACAGAGCAGGTGTACGCCAGTCAGTGAATGAATCGTGAGTGAATGAGGGGTATTTAGAATCGATCTGCTTATCGGGGGAAATTCCTAATGGGAAAGAATAAGTAGACATCTGGGCGCGGTGGTGCGTGCCTGTAGTCCCAGCTACTCGGGTGGCTGAGGCGGGAGGATCACCTGAGCCCAGGAGTTCTGGGCTGTGGTGCGCTATGCCCATCAGGTGTCTGCACTAAGTTCAGCATCAGTGTGGTGACCTCCTGGGAGCGGGGGACCACCAGGTTGCCTAAGGAGGGGTGAACCGGCCCAGGTCGGAAACAGAGCAAGTCAAAACTCCCGTGCTGATCAGCAGAGGGAATAGCCGCTGCACTCCAGCCTGGGCAACATAGAGAGACCCCGTCTCTAAAAGTAAAAATAAAAAAAATAATAAATATACTTTGACTGGGGACCAGAGGTGGACATAGGAGGGACCATGTCTGCCGCAGTTAGGGATCTGTTTCTTTTGGGATCTCCAGCTCATTCTTTCACTCTGCCCAGTCTGGAAGGGAGAGCTGTGCTCTGTGTGAACACAGGACGTCTCCCTGCGATGCCGGGCCTTCCTGGAGACGTCTACGGTGTAGACAGGCAGAGGTGCCTTGACTTGATTTAGCTCCACTGGAGCCAATTAGTTTTGACCTCCCAAGAACTTCTCAGATGGTCTCGGGGTGAGGATCCCATCTGGGGGACCGAGGGCCTGCAGAAATACTCTCTCTGGAGGCAGTCTTCTTCCTGGGCTCAGCTGGCTATGTCTACCACAAAGAAATGGGGTGACTTAAATGATGGCCCAAAAGCAGCACGGATGTGGTGGAAAGAGTGTGACAACCAGAAGATACTCCGCTTCCACCTCTGCCACTTGCAAGCTCAGTGGTGGTTTGGAAGCCGCTCTGTGGTAGGCAGAAAGTGGACTTTGCAGATGTGATATTGAAGTTACATCCTTGGTTATCTCAGCGTTTTTTTTTTTAGATGGAGTCTCACAATCCCAGCTCACCGCAACCTCCGCCTCTCAGGTTCAAGCGATTCTCCTGCCTCAGCCTCCCGAATAGCTGGCACTACAGGTGTGCACCAGCAGGCCCAGCTGATTTTTGTGTTTTTAGTAGAGACGGGGTTTTCCCATGTTGGCCGGGCTGGTCTCGAACTCCTGACCTCAAATGATCCACCTGTCTTGGCCACCCAAAGTGCTGGGCTTACAGGCGTGAGCCACCGTGCCTGCCCCATTTGTGTGGTTTTATGATGCTAGATTTGTGTTAAGTCGTTAGAAACAACAGAAAATAGATCTTCTCTTTGAGCCTGGGTTTTCTCAGCTATAAAATGGAGATGGTGGTTGGTATTCATCTTGCTGACTGGCAGCGACTGAATGAAATAAGCAGGAAGGGGTTTTGTAAACCGTTCTCTTCAACACAAGGCTGTAAATTGTTCTGTAGCTGAACAATCTGCTCCTTAGCAGGGCCCATCTCTCAGCCTGGAGAGAGGCAAAAGGAAAGGAAAGTTTAGCCAACTGCCCGGCACGGACCAGGATTCCAGGTGCATCCACGAAGAACGGTGAAGGAGCCGGCGTGGTTGTGGGCACCTGCAGCTCCAACTATTTGAGAGGCTGAGTGGGAGGATCGAGGCCAGCCTGGGAAACATAGTGAGAGCCTCTCTCTCTTTTTTTTTCTGGGATGCAGTCTCCCTCTGTCACAGGCTGGAGTGCAGTGGTGTGAGCTGGACTCACTGTAACCGCTACTGCCCGGGTTCAAGCGATTCTCCTGCCTCTGCCTCCCAAGTAGCTGGGACTACAGGCACCTGCCACCATGCCCAGCTAATTTTTTTGTATTTTTGGTAGAGATGGGGTTTCACCATGCTGGTCTCGAACTCATGACCTGGTGATCTGCCCGCCTTGGCCTCCCAAAGTGCTGGGATTACAGGTGTGAGCCACCGTGCCCAGTGAGATCCTCTCTTTAAAAGAAAAAAAAAAGATGTGGTGAAGGGCCCTGATTCCTAGAGGCTAGTCCAAAGCATGTCTCTCTCTTCTGGGACCGTGCTCACAAACCTCAGGGAAGGCAGAAGCCTGGTCAGAGGGGTGAGAAACTTGCTGCTGGCTGCTCTTCAGTCTTAGTGCTGAAAACCCACATGTCGACCTGCTGGCTGAGGTGAGGTGAGGCGAGGCCTGGGAGCGAGGATGCAGAGCCTTCATGTAGGCGCTTCTCACAGCCCTTCTGTCTCTTCTTGTTTCAGTTCAGTTCAGCAAGCCTGGCCCTGCTACGCGTGACGGTGACACAGAAGCCAAGAGGGCCACGGAGACCAGGGAGTACAGGCGATGGCAGGGTGAGCCACGGCGCTAATTACAGGCCATCACCTGCATCCCTCGGCTTGTCCTCCCTGCGTGTCTTCAAAGCCAGCCATGGTGGGGTGTGGGGGCTCATGTCTGCAATCCCAGCACTCTGGGAAGGTGAGGTTGGGGGATCGCCTGAGCCCAGGAGTTTGAGGCCAGCCTGGGAAACATAGCAAGACCGCATCTCTACTAAAAATAAAAAATTAACCAGGTATCTTGACACACACCTGTAGTCCCACCTACTCAGGAGGCTGAGGCTGGAGGATCAGTTGAATCTGGGAGATGGAGGTCGCAGTAAGCTGTGATTATGCCACTGCACTCCAGATTGGGCAGCGGAGCACATGGGAGGCCCCCTTCTCCTGCACCAGGGCACGCCCCTGCTGCTTTCTCATCAGCTAGGAGTCCCCTCAGGTCCCCCAGTCTCTTGAGGGTTTCTGTGTCCCAGCACCCCACTTTTTCACCCTTTCCCTCCCTCCCTGCCTGCCTGCTCTGTCCTGGCTGAGGCTGAGTGTGGAAGAGGCTGGCCACTGAATCCATGTGGAGTGTGGAGGGGAGTCCTCTGAGCCAAAAGCGCAGAGCAGCAGTGTCGGGGGCTCTGTGTTGTGGAGCCTCCTGCCCAGGAGAGAGCAGCCTCCAGAGTGGGAACTCAGGCCAGGTGTGGGGGCTTACACCTGTAATCCCAGCACTTTGGGAGGCTGAGGCGTGTGGATCACCTGAAGTCGGGAGTTCGAGACCAGCCTGATCAACATGGTGAAACTCCATCTCTACTAAAAACACAAAAATTAGCTGAGCGTGGTGGCACATGCATGTAATCCCAGCTACTTCTACTTTGGAGGCTAAGGCAAGAGAATCGCTTGAACCCGGGAGGTGGAGGTTGCAGTGAGCTGAGATCACACCACTGCACTGCAGCCTGGGTGACAGAGTGAGACACTGTCTCAAAAAAAAAAAGCAAAAAAGAGTGGGCACCCCATCCTTCTACGGCAGGGGGGCCAGTAAGTCCTGGTCTCAGCTCCTTCCTAGCTCCTGTGAGAGGGCCACGGCCTCAGGTGGTTGACAAGGAAAGTGGTCAGGGTGCCGTGGCCTGCCCCCGGCGCTGCATGGACAGTCCCACCTCTACTTTGGGAAGCACCCCACAGACCCTCTCCCCTAAAACACACACATCAGCCAAGTTCAAAGGGCCCTTTAAAGCAATCTAACCCAAATTCCTTGTAATGCACTTGGGGAAACTGAGGCCCAGGCGGAGGGATCCTTTCCTCACACGGACAGTTGCTATGATGTCAGTGATGAGGCCTCAGATTTTTTTCTCTCTAAAACTCACCTACTATGCACCCAGCAAGCTGCACCAAAAGAAGGTCGAGTCCCAAACCGGCGCCGACCCCACCTGTCGTCTGTATCAGCCTGCAGCATTGGGGCTGGGCCTTCCTGTTTACTCTCAGCCAGAGGGGCTTATCCAGAGGTGACCATTCTCCCAAGATTAAATAAAAACAGCCACACTTCCAGATATTCACTCACTTATTTATTATTTATACCACACCTACTTCCAAAAGAGCATTTGAGGTGGCTCACAGCAAAAGCTGCACATACGACAGAACTGTCAAAAGCAAATAAGCGTCCAGGCGGCCAGAACCTTTCATGGCTTCAGACTATGGGAGGAATTTTGTTTTTTAAGGACCAAAGATGTCTTTGACTTCAGGCGCTTGAGAGGGTCAGGTCTTGAGTGTGGACATTTAAAGGTGCCTGGTCAGGTCGAGTGATGGAAACTGGAGCATCTTATAAAGCGCAGGGCAGGGCCTGATGCGGTGGCTTACGCCACGGAGAGGCCGAGGCGGGATGATCACTTGAGTCCAAGAGTTTGAGACAAGCCTGGGCAAGAAAGTGAGACCCTGTCTCCACAAAAAGATCATAATAATTAAACAATAAATAAGGCTGGGCGCGGTGGCTCACGCCTGTAATCCCAGCACTTTGGGAGGCCAAGGTGGACAGATCACCAGGTCAGGAGTTCGAGACCAGCCTGACCAAGATGGTGCAACCCCGTCTCTACTAAAAATACAAAAATTAGCTACTCATGGTGGTGGGTGTCTGTAATCCCAACTGCGGGAGTCTGAGGCAGAGAATTGCTTGAACCTGGGAGGCAGAGGTTGCAGTGAGCTGAGATTGCGCCATTGCACTCCAGCCTGGGCGACAGAGCGAGACTCTCTCAAAAATAACATAAAATATAATAAAGGTGCTTGGGCCACATGAGGAAAGGTGGTGAGGATAAAGTTGCCAGCCCTGAACCGCTGAGAGGAAGCCGGAGCCACTGACAAGACTGTTCACCCACGAACCCCTCATCTCTGCTTGGCCCCTCACTAGGCGCTCCTTGCTGTGCTGGAGGCAGCCGCCCTCCTGCATGAAAATCCCGCAGAAAATCAGCAGCTGTTGGGGAAATCCTGACAAAGCTCGAGACCCCCCCCAAAAAGAATGCACCACACGTAGCGCTCGGGAGCATCTAGCCAGATCTTCCAGATGAGGAAACTGAGGCCTGAGGAGGGGTAGGACCCCATCAGGCTGCACAGCTACCTGGAGGCAGAGCAGGACTGGACCCCCATTATTCTGACCCTCGAACCAGCAGTCAGCCCCACCCCCATCAGTTCCTCCCATGACCACACGTGGTTCAAACAGAACAAAGGAGAGAACGCAGCCCCACATTTCCCCATAGGCTGAGACGAGACAGACGAACAGTGTTTGAAGCACATGAGCACAGGCTGTTCCCCAGGGCGAGGAAGTTCAAGGTAAAATTCCTGAAGCCCTTAGTGGTTATTTTAAACACTGTTTCCGAGTTCCTAAGAAACTAAGCTTCTATTTAAAAAAAAAGTACAAACAAGCTTTGAAGCCGTTTGAAGATAAAAGGTATTTTCCGGACCTGGGTTGGTGAGGGGAGGCTGACAGTGTTTTGAAACAAACGTGGGAGGGCTCATCGTGGCCTGAACAGATTCTGATAGTAGATCACAGCCACACTTGTCACCGCCCGGCCGACAGCACTCTCCATTCTCAGAGTCTTGCACAACTGCCCACACTACGCAGTCCTGATGTGCAGACATGCCGGGATGTGCCAATACCCACAACCCGAGAGCCAGATGGCCTGGGTTCAAATCCCGGCTCGCTCACTCACCAGCCTTGGTGGGTCTCCTGACCTCTCCGTGCTCTGCTCTTCTCATCTGTAGATAGAATAACCTTAGTCACCTGCTCGTAGGGCTGAGCTGATGATTAAATGGGTTGGTGTAAGGGTTTGGAGCGGTGGCTGTACTTTCTTGGTGTTAGCTACCATTATTCATTCCATGAATCTCGATGGGGAGACACATCCCAGCCGTACCCAGCCTGACTGGTCCTCCTTAGTCACTGACCACTTACCGATGAGTAGATGGCTTGCTACGAAGTGTGGGAGCCCTAACTGCTGACTGGGAGAGGGAGGCTGAATCCGAGGCCCCACCCCAGACCTACTGAGGCAGAATCTGCATTTTGTTTTTTGACATGGACTTTTGCTCTTGTTGCCCAGGCTGGAGGGCAGTGGCGTGATCTTGCCTCCCCAGTTCAAGTGATTCTCCTGCCTCAGCCTCCCGACTAGCTGGGACTACAGGCATGTGCCACCAAGCTCGGCTAATTTTGTGTTTTTAGTAGAGATGGGGTTTCTCCATGTTGGTCAGGCTGCTCTTGAACTCCCAACCTTGGGTGATCCACCCACCTCCACCTCCCAAAGTCCTGGGATTACAGGTGTGAGCCAGTGCGCCCGGCCAGAATCTGCATTTTAACAAGATTCCAGGGGGGCTCAGGCAAATACTGAAGACGGAGGAGCACTGGACGAGGCTGCTGAAATGAGCACTGGACGTGTCTCCAAGCAGAGGGGCTTTGGCCCCTTGGCAGCCAGGACCCCAGTGGCCCTCCCCCGCTGGAGAGAGCGAGCCACCCTGACTCCTGCCTCCCACGGGACTCGATGTCTGGATGTCACTTCCATGGCCCTATCTTCGGTGTACATCTGACGGGTGGGGGGACGTGGGAGACCATGGTCTTGCCTTAAGTTTACCTGGAATAGGGCGTTGGTGGTGCGTCTTCCGTGGAGCTCAAGTTTTGCTCTTGGGTGATTGTCTAGAAATCCCTGTGGCATGTAGAGCTGAAGACAGTTTTCCCAAAAGCCATCCGAGGCGAGCTCACCCTGCCGCAGAGATGGCCACGACTAATCTTCAGAACAGGTTCTGAGAAGTTGGGATTATCTAAAAACCCTCAGCAAAGCACAGGGCGAGCCATTCATTCATTCATTCTCTCCAGTAACTTGTTTTTATTTTTAGAGATGTGGGCTTGCTACATTGCCCAGGCTGGTCTCAAACTCCTGGACTCAAGCAATCCTCCTGCCTCGGCCTCCTGAGTAGCTGGGATTATAGGGGTGCACCATCCCACTGAGCTCAGTACCTTTTTTTTGAGGTAGGGTATGAGGATAATTCTTCAGATCCTACTTAGGTCACCTGGCAGAAAGATAAATGAAGATCTAAAGTGAAGAGACATGTGAATCCTGAGAATGGCGTTGCAATACATTTTCCTGATACAGCAAATTCTTCCCTTGGCTTAGAGGGCAATGCTCGTGTGGCTTCGGGACTGGAAGAATGGCAGCATTTCAGCAGTGGCTCAGAGGAAGAAGTTATAATCCCAGCCATGACTCTGCAATCAGCTTCCTGTCATGAAATTCCCTGCAGAAGCCCCAGTCATTTGCCACGTGGGTTTTGGGAAATTGGGGTGTTCCCCTCTCGATCTCCGGTCTGGCTCCCTGTCACCTGCCATCCTGGGAGATGCAGTCTGGATGTTCCTTCTCCCTTGCACAGGTCCTGCCCTTGTTCTGACCTGGCACTTGCCTGGGCTGGGAGCTAAGGGGGCAGTCGGGGTGGAAGAGGACAAGGGAGGGCCTTCACCTCTGGACCTCCTTTGGTCCCTGAGGAAGTCCCATGCCAACCTACAGCCTGGGGGATCCCGTGTGGCCCCACTTCTGGGTTCTGCTGACTCCTGCCCAGCTCTCTAGCCCGTGACTGTGAGAGGGGGACAAGGTGGGCACGGCGCCTGCCTCCATCCCTGGGACCCACGCCCCGCCCCTGTGTGGTGCTAGGAGGACACGGTCTGGGGTCTGTGTCCTTCAGGGCGGAGCTGCTTGGCCAAATCTGCCTACAGCCAGTCTGAGGTCCAGACTTTCCCTCAGTGTTTTGCAAAGAAAGCAAACTTCCTGACCCTAAGCTCTACTGACACAAACAAATCTCAAAATGTCTTACAATGAAATGGACTTGGACATTATGCTTTCAGAATAAAACACACACAAGATTCAATAAAAATGAGCATACTTAGCCGGGCACGGTGGCTCACTCCTGTAATCCCAGCGCTTTGGGAGGCCAGGGTGGGCTGATAACCTGAGGTCCAGAGTTCAAGACCAGCCTGGCCAACACGAAGAAACCCCGTCTCTACTGAAAACACAAAATTAGCCAGGCGTGGTGGCGCATGCCTGTGATCCCAGCTACTCGGGAGGCTGAGGCAGGAGAATTGCTTGAAACTGGGAGTTGGTTTTTGCACTCCAGCCTGAGCAACAAGAGCAAAACTGTGTCTCAAAAAAAGAACGGACATAATTACAGTGTGAACAGGGCTGTCTCTGCTCATTCTGTGAAGGTTTTAAAATTTTATTTCATTTTATTTTGAGGTAGAGTCTCGGCGCTCTCCTCTTCCTCTCCTTCTGCCTCTGCCAAAAAATAAAAATAAAAATAAATTTTTTTTAAAAAAAGGAAGAGATGGAGTCTCACTCTGTGGCCCAGGCTGGAGCATAGTGCTATGATCTTGGCAGCCTCCTGGGTTCAAGCGATTCTCTTGCCTCAGCCTCCCGAGTAGCTGGGATTACAGGTACACACCACCACATCCAGCTAATTTTTGGATTTTTAGTAGAGACGGGGTTTCACCTTGTCAGCCAGGATGGTCTCGAACTCCTGACCTCAGGTCACCTGCCTTGGCCTCCCGAAGTGCGAGGATTACAGGCGTGAGCCACTGCACCCGGCCCATGAAGGTTTTCTGCTCCAGCCTCCATAGGCACCTCTTTCCATCCAGCCCAGCCACCAAGCACTGGGTGTTTTATGAAAAGACTCCTGGTTCTACAGTCCCAGGGGGAAGGGCATCGGGTTCAGTCCTTCAGTGGTGAAGGGTCCCTGGAGCCCTGGGCGTTTCACGCGGCCTGGCCCCGTTTGATGGACTCCAGCCTCCTTCTGATCATTCTTGTTATTCAGTACCTTGCTTTTTATTTTTGTATTTTGTATCTTACTTGACATTCATAAATGTAATTACGATAAAATAGACAATTCAGCCAGGCACAGTGGCTCACGCCTGTAATCCCAGCACGTGGGGCGGCTGAGGCGGGTGGATCATGATGTCAGGAGTTTGAGGCCAGCCTGGTCAACACGGTGAGACCCCGCCTCTACTAAAAATACAGAAATTAGCCAGGAGTGGTGGCCAGCGCCTATAATCCCAGCTACTCAGGAGGCTCAGGCAGAAGAATTGCTTGAACCCGGGAGGTGGAGGTTGCAGTGACCCGAGCAGCCTGGGTGACAGGGCAAGACTCTGCCTCAAAAAAAAATAGACAATTTACAAATGAACCAACAATTTGGGACAATTTATCTCATGAGCTAAACCTATTCAGAGTGAGAGTTTGTGGTTTCCATGTACCTGAGTTAGGGCCGAGTACGTTTCATAAGTTGGTTTCTTCTATTAACAGATGTAAATTGTCCCAGCATGATGGCTCATGCCTGTACTCTCAGCACTTCGTGAGGCTGAGGTGGGAGGGCCAGCCTGGTGACATAGCAAGGCCTCATCTCTGCTAAAACCCAAAGAAAGAAACAAACAAATTAGCTGGGCGTTGCACCTGTAGTCCCAGCTACTTGAGAGGCTGGGATGGGAGGATCATTTGAGCCCTGGAGGTCAAGGCTACAGTGAGCAGTGATCATGCCACTGCACTCCAGCCTGGGTGATAGAAAGAGAGCCTGTCTCTACAAAATTAATTAGAAAAATTAAAATGTACGCTGCCTATCCATCCACCTCTGACTACCTTTGCTGAGGGGAGAGGAACGAATCTTAGTTGAGATGGTTTCCCCTCCCCAGGGTCCACCCCCAGAATCCCAGACACCCTGAGGCTGAGCCCTGCTGGGTTCCTGTGGGAGACTCAGTGCGTAGGTGTTTGGAGTAAACAGCTCCTGCCTCAGGGCCAAAGTGGGAGGAACAGGAGAAACAGACCGAGTTCTTCTGTTCACAGCCAAGGCCCCTTCACCTCTGTCACGTGGTCTGGAACAATGCTGTTGAGGTCACAGAGGACTCACGAAGCTGAATTGATTCCCACTCTGCTCTGACACGGTTATTTATTTAGAGCACAACCATTCACCATTGGTTGAGCTCTTGCCCCGTGCCAGGCCCTGGGCGAGGTGTTCTAGACACACTGTCATTCATAGCTCTGAGCCCTTATGGGGGAGGAGCTATTGTGATGCACACGTGTAACACCATAAGACGGGCTGGGAGAGGCAGGAACTCAGCCACACTAGCTCCACATGCTTTGTCTGTCTTGGGGGTAGTATATATAACATATAGCCATGGTTTAAAGAATTAGAACACATTTTGTATGCAAATAATTTTTGATTATGTATCTTAAAATATGTCTATAGCTTGTTTTTTGCTTTCTTTATGAATGTTCTAATAAATATCAATTCTTAATTTTAATAGGATAGAATTTATCAGTAGTTTTCTTGTATGGTTGGCACATTTTAGGTCTGATTTTGAAAATCAATTCCAGCCAGGCATGGTGGCTCACACCTGTAATCCCAGCACTTTGCGAGGTAGGAGGATAGCTTGCGCTCAGGAGTTTGAGATCAGCCTGGGAGACACAGCAAGACCTCGTCTCTACTCAAAAACGAAAACAGGGCTAGGTGCAGTGGCTCATGCCTGTAATCCCAGCACTTTGGGAGGCCAAGACTGGCAGATCACGAGCACAGGAGTTTGAGACCAGCCTCGCCAACATGGTGAAGCCCTGTCTCTACTAAAAATATGAAACTTAGCTTGGTGTGGTGGCAGGTGCCTGTAGTCCCAGCTACTCTGGAGGTTGAGGCAGGAGAATTGCTTGATCCCAGCAGGCAGAGGTTGCAGTGAGCCAAGTTCGCACCACTGCACTCCAGCCTGGCAACAGAGCGAGACTCCATCTCAAAAAGCAAACAAAAAAAACACAAAAAACTGGACTCACTGAGTCTCCTCTGGCTCAGGAGCTGCTCAACTTAAAAAAAAAAAGTGGGGGTGGGAAAGGAAAAATAATTTCCTATCTCAACATAATAAGATATGTTTCTGTGTAGTTTTTTTTCCCTAAGAGGTTTATAATCTGGCCTTTCCCATTCACATGTTTAAATCACCTAGCATTTTATTTTTATTTTTGAGGTGATATAGGGAAGATGCTTGTTCTTTCTACTCTACTAAGGTATGGACGATGTTCCTACTCCCTAAACTCACCCAGGTAGTACACACACAAAGCTCACTTCCTTCAATTCAGTTGTATGAGGTTTTATTTAGCTGTTGTAGGACTGTGCAGAAGTGGGGTAGGTCCTTAAAAGAAAAAAAGAAAATTACGGATTGCTAAAGTTTGCATCGTTAATTAGGAATGTGCCCTTGAGGGGATGACCACCTATTTTCCAGCATCCTGATTTGCCATTTTCACACGTAAAGAGAGGTGTGTACAGGTTCCGTGGGCCTGTGGGGGTTCCCGTTCTCACTTCCTTTGTTATGAGTGTGGCCGGCCCTGGTGGGCCTCGGGGGTGAGTCTCTGGTTTCTGTTCACATTCAATTGTGTTGCTTTTCTTTCTCTGCAGACATATGCTATGGCCCAGAAATTTTTCTAAAGATCCTACAATGACCCTCTACTTTTTCACAAGTAGAGAGAGGCGTTTCAGAACAAGTACGGTCCTGTGTGACTAGATGCTTCTACAACCAGTGTGTACATGGCCCAAATCAACTAGGCCACGTGTGGGTCCTGGCAAACATCTGGCTTCCCGTGAGCCTCACCACAGCCACTCCAGAAAAGCGCTCCCAGCTCATTGCTCTCCTGTGCAAATTTGTAGAGGCAACTAACTTGGGAAGCTCTTTCTCATCCAATATGAAAAATTTCTTTTATTTTTAAGTTGCTATTGTGTACATTTAAGCAGAGGCTTTTGTTTTTATTTTTTTAACCTATAAACACATACAGAGGCTTCTGAAAGGCCTTAGCGGCTCATGGGGAGCCATGCTCTTAATACAACAAAAATGGAACTTAAAAATACATACATATAATTGTTATATGTAAAAAATAGAAAAGGGAACAAAAATTAGCTGGGTGTGGTGGCGGGCACCTGTAATCCCAGCTACTCAGGAGGCTGAGGCAGGAGAATCACTTGAACCTGGGAGGTGGAGGTTGCAGTGAGCTGAGATCAAGTCATCGCACTCCAGCTTGGAACAAGAGAGAGACTGCATCTCAAAAAATAAAATAAAATAAAACAAAATATTAGCCGGGCACGGTGGCTCACGCCTGTAATCCCAGCACTTTGGGAGGCCGAGGCAGGCGGATCATGAGGTCAAGAGATCAAGACCATCCTGGTCAACATGGTGAAACCCCGTCTCTACTAAAAATACAAAAAATTAGCTGGGCATGGTGGCACGCACCTGTAATCCCAGCTACTCAGGAGGCTGAGGCAGGAGAATTGCCTGAACCCAGGAGGCGGAGGTTTCGGTGAGCCGAGATCGTGCCATTGCACTCCAGCCTAGGAAACAGAATGAGACTCCAGCTCAGTTTAAAAAAAAAAAATTATTTGGCTCACTCCTGTAATCCCACCACTTTGGGAGGCAGAGGAGGGAGGACTGCTTGAGGCCAGGAGTTCAAGACCAGCCTGGGCAACGTGGTGTGGAATAGGAGTTGATTTTATAGGTTTGGGGTAGGCAGTGGAAAATTACAGAAGTCACAGTTCAAGGGGATTTTGCAAGCCTGGGGGGTGTTGTGGGTGGAGGGAAGGGTCCCGGGACGCATGGTCACAAGGGTAGGGTCATCTGTTACAAACAGGCATAATTATAAGGCTGGGCGTTGTCAGTGGCAGGTTGTGGGGAGGGTGTGGTAAGTTACATAGTTACAGGGGTGGGGGTCTTGAAAAACCTACTGTCTGGGGGAAATTTTCGCAAGGCTGAGCAGGAACAGTGGTTGAAGGTTGCAGGGGGAGAGCAATCAGTTGAGGCAGGAACCAGTCATTTCTCTCTCTCTTTTTTTTTTTTTATAAATTTGCTTTATTATAAGTGTATGAAGATCTTAATGTCACTGGGCAAAATAGCCATTTATGAGAATAGTTCAAATTCACTCTTGCAACAAAATAAACCACATTCAATCAAGACACAGGAAAAACAAATTTAGGATTTAGGAATGCTATACTTGCTTCTCTTCAACCTTAGCAGCCAAAGTTGCAAAGTTCTCAAGATGCTACTGACACTATTGTCTTAAGCAACAGAATCCTGGGGAGCGTGGGGGTCTCTGATGCTTGGGCCTTCAAGTTCTTCTCAAGGTGTTTCATCTTCTCAGCTCGGGCTCGATGTTCTCGGTGAAACCATGCCAGGCACAGGAGCATGCTCTTCACCCGATTCTGTACACGGGGCCGTCCAAAAATGGTGATTTCTACTAGGTTCCCAGAGTCCACTATGTCCACTGTCAACAGGGCCTGGCTAGTCCACTCCATTTCTGGAATTATGGCTCGGTCTGGGCGCAGCTGCTCCAGGGAGTGGGCCGGGGTCTGTTTGCCCCAGTGGGACTCAGCAGCACCAGCGTCATCGACCATACTGGGACCAGCAGCCGCGGAGCGCGCTCGGGACGGTTTTCACATGACCTCCTCCAGACTCCGTTTCTCTTCTCTTTGTGGCCATTAGTTACTTCCTACTTTCTGGCTCCTGGAGACCATTAGGAGGTGTCCATGCAGGTCACCAAGGCTATAATGGCCAGGCTTGGACTTGGAGGCCAGAGAGAGAGAGAGAGAGAGAGGTATGTGTGTGTGTGTGTGTGTGTGTATTTATATGTGTGTGTGTGCACACACGCGCGTGTGTCTGTATACACACACACAAAAAAAACATAAAAAGCAGGCGTGGTGGCATGCACCTATAGTCCCAGTGGCTTGGGAGGTTGAGGTGGATCCAGCTCAAGGCTGTAGTGAGCTGTGATCATGCCACTGCACTCCAGCCTGGATGACAGCTCAAGACCATATCTCAAATAAAAAATTTAGGCTGGGCGTGGTGGCTCACGCCTGTAATCTCAGCACTTTGGGAGGCCAAGGTGGGTGGATCACCAGAGGTCAGGTGTTCGAGACCAGCCTGACCAATATGGAGAAACCTCGTCTCTACTAAAAATACAAAATTAGCTAGGCATGGTGGCACATGCCTGTAATCCCACTTACTCTGGAGGCTGAGGCAGGAGAATCGCTTGAACCCGGGAGGCAGAGGTGTGGTGAGCCGAGATTGCGCCATCGCACTCCATCCTGGGCAATAAGAACAGAACTCTGCCTCAAAATAAAAACTTAAAAATTAGCTGGGTGTGATGGCTTATGCCCCTGTAGTCCCAGCTACTGAGGAGGCTTAGGTGGGAGGATCCCTTGCGCCCAGGAGTTCAAGGCTGTAGTGACCTGTGATTGTGCCACTGTACTCCAGCCTGGGCAACAAAGTGAGACTCTGTCTCTGAAAAGAAAACAAAAAACTCCTAAGGATACATTTACATTTTATGTGTATGCGATTACTGGCTGTGAGGAGACTACAGAAATTTAGAACAGTTACACCTGAGCCCTATCAGATTTACTGCTGCCCAGCCCTCTCCTCAACTGAACTACTACACACGCATTTTTTTCCAGTATCTGTCGCTAAATCAGTGACCTGAGAGTCGCTCGGGAGAGTGGATCTTGGCTCAGGTTGTGAATTTGCCTCCTCTGTGTGTGTGTGTCCTCCCAGCTCCATTAAGAAACTTGGCCAGACGCAGTGGCTCACGCCTGTAATCTCAGCACTCCGGGAAGTTGAGGTGGGCAGATCACCTGAGGTCAGGAGTTTGAGACCGGCCTGGTCAACATGGTGAAACCCTATCTCTACCAAAAATATAAAAAATTTGCTGGATATGGTGGCACGAGCCTGTAATCTCAGCTACTCAGGAGGCTGAGGCGGGAGAATTGCTTCAACCCGGGAGGCAGAGGTTGCAGTGAGCCTAGAGGGTACCACTGCACTCCAGCCTGGGTGACAGAGTAAGACTCTGTCTCAAAAAAAAAAAACACAAAAATCTAAATATTGTTAACATTTAAAATCTTGATTAGCTTTGAAGATTTTTGCAGCTTTTCCTACCCAGAGTAAACAGTGGGGTTTCCCTTTTTGCTTAACATGAGACTTCAGAGGGAAAACAAAA